CTGCAGTGTAGTTTAGGGATGTGGATGTGCTTCATTTAGGATTGAGAAGGGAAGGATAAGCCTCACTCACCAGTGTTGAGGGAAGGAATCAACTTTGAATCCCACCATCAATTGTAAAAGGGAGGAATATTCAAAGAATTTTTAGAAGGAGGGTAAAATTTACCCCACAATTGTTTTTGCTAGGTATTGTTACCGATTGTGATACTAAGGAGGTTATATTGATGTTAAATTTAATTACAGCCGCAAGGTTGTTAGTAGGGCAATACTGGAAGAAGGAATCTTTGCCTACTTTGCAAGAATGGTTTTTTAAAGTATCTTATCTGGCGGAAATGGAAAAGATTTCGGCTTTTTTAAAGGATCAATCACAAGAGAAGTTTTTTGTGGTATGGGAAAAATGGATAGATTTTATACAACATAAGTTGGATATAAAAAATATTACTTAGTTTATCAATAATTTATATACAAATTTTAATATTTTATAGATTGTATTATTTTTTCTTTTTCTTTATATGTTTTATTATTATTTTACTTTCTTATATTTCTTTTCTTCTTTCTTTCTCTTTATTCTTCTTTTTTTAAAGTATTTTCTTTTTTTTCTTTAATATTTATCTCTTTTATATATATATATATATATTATTGTTAATTATTCTATTAGTAGTTTAAGTAATGTATTTAGACTTATCTATGGTTTATATATTTTTTTTTAAGAATTCAAGAAAATTTAATTAAGCCTATATTCAGCTCTGGGAAAGTTGAGGGAGGGAGTGGGAGGGTTGGGGTGGGTTGGGGAGGGCTGTTTTTTCTTATTTTGTAAAATTTTAAAAATTTTCAATAAAAAAAAAATTGTAAAAGGGAGTAAAATGGTGAAGGAAGATACGGTGCTTGTTATGTGTTATGCAGTAGAAAGAACATTAAACAAAGAAGCATCTATATATTATAAGCCGTGGTGACACAGTGGTTAGAATGCAGTATTGCAGGCTAACTCTGCCCACTGCCAGAAGTTTGATCCTTACAGGCTCAAGGTTGACTCAGCCTTCCATCCTTCCAATTTTGGTAAAATGAGGACCTAGATTGTTGGGGGCAATATGCTGACTCTGTAAACTACTTAGAGAAGGATGTGAAGCAGTATATATGTCTAAGTGCTATTGAAATATTGTCATTAAAAAATGTTGGGCACCTGGGTACCATTCCCTTCTTTGTCTTTTTGTAATGATTAATTATATCAGCCTACCTTTCCAAAGCAATCCAGGGGATCAGTTCCAGCATAACCACACTCATCAATGCCCAGAGGAATAGTTAAGAAAGAATATTTCCTTTCTAGTAGCATCCCAAGATAGCACCAAGCCAAAGCTAGAGAAAAAGTAAGAAATACTTCAGAGCAGATCCTTCCATTCAGAAATAAAGGGGAAGTTTCTGCCTCATTATTAAACTTAAATCTTTACTTATTAATTGGAGACAGCCCCTGGGATGGTATAGGTATAGAAAGGGTTTTCCACATCAGAAAATTCTGATGCATTCTAGCTAAGCCGGTTTAGCCCTGGTTAATACCTGGATGGGGAATCATCGGGGCCACACAGACCTATAGGCTAGACTGTGAAATGGAAAAGGTATCCTGGAAGATAGAGCAGGAGTGTCAAACTGCCGGCCCACGAGCTGGATGTGTCATGGCAAAACCGCACCCACCCCATGGCTGGCAATGGAAAAAAAGTCACGATATGTCGCGACACGTCACATGATGTTGCGAGTTTGACACCCCTGCATTAGAGCATGCCTCTTTTCTTCACTGCTTCTGAACATCTGAACTGATGGAAAGTACAGATCAGCTTACTTTTGTTGTAGCTCACATTATGTAAATAATTGAAATAAGTAAATGCCCACATACATACTTATACATTCAACATTCTGTTTATATTGCTCTGCATTTTTAAAAAAATTAATTTGTATGCCTGTGTATATTATTCTAATCAACAGGTGATTGGATTGTTTTTTTCCAAATGAAAAGACTAACATGTGTGAGAGGTACTGCAACAAAAATGCTAGAAGAGTGAAGAATGCTCTTTCGGATCCATGACATTATTGAGACAAAAGCATATGAGTATGAAGAATTGATTGCAATCAACCTGGGGGAAGTAACCTTTCTGATAATGCATACGAATTAAGGAGAAGCTTCCTAGCAGTGAGAACAATTAACCAGTGGAACAGCCCGCCATCAGAAGTTGTGGGTACTTCATCAGTGGAGGCTTTTAAGAAGAAACTGGAGAGTCACTTGTCTGAAATGGTATAGGACAGTGATGGTGAACCTTTTAGAGACCGAGTGCCCAAACACTGGCCCCCCAACCCCGTCCCTACTTCGTCCTCCCACTGGGCCACCCACCACTTCCACGGCCCACCACAGATCACCCAGGCAGCTCAGCAGCGCCATGGCGGCCATGCCTTCCACCTGTGCCCCGCAGCATCTTCTGCATGCAATGGGGTTCAAGGACGGAGTCTTGTCCCCGCTGCTCAGCTACCATGTCCTTGGCTCTGCTGCTTTGTGTGGGCCGTGCCAGGGGCAACTCTCCTCCAGGTGGGCTGCTGGTGAGGGGGCCATGGGAGGAGGCAGGGCTGGGGAGACGGTGTGTGTGCCCACAGAGAGGGCTCCGAGTGCCACCTCTGGCACCCGTGCCATAGGTTTGCCACGACTGGTATAGAGTCTCCTGCTTGAGCAGAGGGTTGGATCAGAAGACTGCCAAGGTCCCTTCCAGCTCTATTCTGATTGACTGATTGAAAGTGAGCTGGTAAGAAAATTGTGTACGTATATTTGTGTGTACATTTGAGTGTCGTAGGAAATGAGCCATATATTGGCCCATGGCAACCATCAATCTCTCTTCTCTCTCTTCTCCTTCATTATCCCAATTTAAAAACCTACATCGATTGAGACACTCGATGGATCTGATCAAGTGAGATGCAGCACAAAAGCTTACACCTTATCATGAGAACCGTTAATCAGAAAAGATGCTAACAGACTTTTTTTTTTGGTTTGTATATGTGTGTGCAAGCAAATACATGCATTCTGCCAATGGTATCCCAATGGTTGGATCTGGCTCGGTCTTTGCTATAGTGTTTGGGGGCTAATGAATCATTTCCCCTACCTCTGTAGTGTAGATTAGACGACTTCAGTACTTGTTGAAGCAAAACCAGAGTTCTGTTGAAAGCTGTCAGTCTCTTCTTTTCATCCTCACCTTTGTTCATCCACACCCCATCTAGTCTGAAGTAAAAAGAGGAACTAATATCATTCATACGTACAGAGGTGTACAGGCAGGCAATGCACTTAAAAAAAAATCTGATAGAATTTTTTTAAAAAAAATAAATAAATCAAATGTTGGAAATACTTCTTTGAATTCTGTTCTTTCCATCCCTTTCTAACTGTGATACTCCTAAAGCAGGGGTCTACAACCTTGACAACTTTAAGACTTGTGGACTTCAGCTCCCAGAATTCCTCAGCCAGCAAAGCTTAAAGTTGTCAAGGTTGCAGACCGCTGTCCTAGAGGGTGATGTGGTCCAGAGGAAACTTGTTGCATTATTGTGAATTAGCCACTTCTGTTATTTTTTGATTCATTCTTTAAATTTGATAGCGGGAAGTTATCAAATTATTCCAAAGACATAAGTTGGTATAAAGTAATCAGAAATGGGATGCTTTTAGACAAGGTTTTTTTTTAAATGTACAACCATCTTGCCTTGTTCAAATTGTTATTTTCACCCCCTGGTTTAAGATCAGTATTGCTCATCACTTGCCATGGAAACCTGTTGTGTGTTTGGTCTGAACTGGATATAGAGATTGACTGGAAGTGTGCTGGGTTCAAATTACCCATATATATTTTAGTTAACATTAAGTGAATCACTGAACTTGCAGCTGTAAAGCGGATACGGCTTTCCCATTGCCTTTGCTTGTCAGAAGGCTGCAAAATGTGATCACGTGACCAAGGACACTGCAACTGTCATAAGTACATGCCAGTTGCCAAGCCTTCGAATCTTTATCACATGACCCTGGGGACTGTGCAACAGTTTTAAGCTTGAAAAACAGTCAAGTAACTTTCTTAGTAACTTTGAACAGTCACTAAAAGAATTCGTTGTAAGTCGAGGACCTGTGTTCCAGCCTTCAGTGGAACAAGAAATTTCTGCCACTTTGTCCCAAGATGTTCTCCTTCTGTTATTTTGATATCCTTTCTTTGAGGAATCAAGCGATGGTGACTTTTCATTCTGGACTCCTTCCTGTGTCTCACCTGATGTGCAAAGTGGCCATGGCAAAATACCAGCTCCTTTTCTCCTCTAAAGGTATCTGAAATTGAGAGGAGGGGTGGGAAGGTGAAGGGGGGGGAAAGAGTCTGATTAGCCACTGGTGACTGAGGGATTGCATTCCCTGGATACCAGTCATAGGACATTATTCCATGAAATCAAAGATTGTAGTCGCCAGCCCTCTTCTTGCTCCAATCCACAAACCATGCAACACAAAACGTAAAGTTCACCTCATTTGAGATAATAAACTGAATCCTATAAGCGAAGAGCATAATTAGTTCGTCAGCTCTATAAAAATGGTTGAGTAGCAATTATTTATCCTGTTCTGCAAATCCACTGAGAGAGGAGGCTGACGCTAAAAAGTATTATAATATATATTGAATGGAATTATAGGAGCAATATTTTAAAAAGCACAGGTAAAAACTAAATGCTACACTGTAATAAAAATCAAAACATAATTTAGAAATAGAGAAAAAACAGAAACAAAACCTGAACAGATTATATACTATACGTGGGGATTCAAAATCAGACCTCTCTTGTGCCTGAATATTCTCATGCATATACAGTGCATTCAGAAAGTATACAGAATCCCCTTCACTTTTGTCAATTTTGTTATGCTGCAGCCTGATTCTACAGTTATTGAAATTCATTTTTTTCTCATTAATCTATATTCAGTACCCCATAATGACAAAGTAAAAACAGATTTTTAGAACTGTTTGTAAATTTATTAAAAAGAAAAACTGAAATATCACATTGGCATAAGTGTTCAGACCCTCTGCAACACTTGAAATTTAGCTCAGGTGCCTCCCATTTCTTTTGATCATTACTGACATGTTTCTACACCTTGATTGAAGTTGACTGGTGGTAAATTAAATTGATTGGACATGAGAGGTACACACCTCTCTATAGAAGGCCTCAATGCATATTGTATGCAGCTGACAATGCATACTGTAACAGAGCAAAAGTGATGAGGTCAAAAAAACTGGCTGCAGAGCTCAGAGACAGGATTATTACAAGGCCCTGGGGAAGGCTACAATAAAATTTCTGCTGCACTGAAGGTTCTAAGAGCACAGTGGCCTCCATAATTCTCAAATGGAAGAAATTTGGCACAACTAAGACTCTTCCAAGAACCGGTTGCCTGGTCAAACTGAGCAATTGGGGGAGAAGGGCCTTAGTAAGAGAGGTGACCAAGAACCCAATGGTCACTCTGACTGAGCTCCAGAGATCCTATGTGTGAGATGGGACAGAGATCCAGAAGGACAACCATCACTCTAACCCTTCACCGATCTGGGCTTTATGGCAGAGTGACTAGATGGAATCCTCTGCTCAGTGCAAAACATATGAAATCCTGCTTGGAGTTTGCAAAAAAGCACCTGAAGGATTCTCAGACTGTGAGCAACAAGATTCTCTGATCTGATGAAACCAAGATTGAACTGTTTGGCCTCAATTCTAAATGTTATGTCTGGAGGAAACCAGGCATTGCTCATCACTTGCCCAATATCATCCCACAAGTGAATCATGGTGGACGTGGCATCATTCTGTGGGGGTGTTTTTCAGCAGCATGACTGGGAGACTGTCAGGGTTGAGGGAAAGCTGAATGGAGAAAAGTAAAGGGATATCCTCAATGAAAACCTGTTCCACAGTGCTCAGAACTTCAGACTGGGCTGAAGACTACTTTCCAACATGACAATGATCCTAAGCACACAACCAACACAGGAATGGCTGAGGGATGACTCTATGAATGTCCTAGAGTGGCCCAGCCAGAGCCCTGACTTGAACCCTATTGAACATCTCTGGAGGGACCTGAAAATGGCTGTCCACCGATGGTCATCATCCAATCTGACTGAGCTTGAGAAGATTTGCAAGGAAGAATGGCAGAAAATCCCCCAATCCAGGTGTGTAAAGCTTGTCACATCATACACAGAAAGACTCAAGGCTGTAATTGCTGCCAAAGGTGCTTCAACAAAATACTGAGTGAAGGGTCTGAAAACTTATGCTAATGTGATATTTCAGTTTTTTAATTTTAATACATTTGCAGACAGTTCTAAAATTCTGTTTTCATTTTGTCATTATGGGGTACTGAATGTAGATTAATGAGAAAAAAAATGAATTTCAACAACTGTAGAATCAGATGAAGGGGGTCTAAATACTTTCGGAATGCACTATATATAGCTAACAAACTAAATGAAATCAGTCAGATGTCCTATCTTCACTGAGAAAACCTTACTTTATTGGATACTATGCCAGTTTATGCATGTGCATAATCTTTAATAAATAGTTGCTAATTGATTATAAATCATGGACTTACTTCACTAGCAGTTCTTTATATAGGTGATAGTTCAAAAGATCACAAATACAGCAAATCAAAAAATTAGTTTTCATATTACAGAAAGCTCCTGGTTAATAAACAATATTTTTACTCTATATGTCTATCAGGCAACCACTTTAAAATATATTTATGAAAGTCATTTTGATTCCATTCTGTCTGTTTTTTGCAATGACTAAGAACTTTGGAACCTGCACAATGGTATAAAATTAAATACAGACCATCCCTTTAGTGTAAATATTATGCTAAAACAAATAATTTCAGTTTAGCGTCTTGTCTTGTGATGTGGCCTGTAGTGGCTGGGAGCTATAAACTGGGAAATAATAGTAACAAAAATGACAAACAACAGCTGCCTATCCCAGGTCCTTGGGAAGGACTTGACAGGTGGAGAAAAATTCCACATTGAATCTAAACATCTGGCTGACTATGTGACCAACTACATAATAATATACCATTAAACCTCAACATCTGCCTATCCCAGGTCCTTGTGAAGGACTTGACAAGTGGATTAAAAATGCCAAATACAGTCTAAACATCTGGCTGTGTAATTAACCACAATAATGAAGATCCTAATCATAAAACTGAAAGTTAATACTGTTTGGGATGGACCAGGACTGTTCAGAAATGTCCTTGACATTCAACTTTAAATGTTTTAACCTATTAACCTAAATCCTTCCTACCCTGATTATTTGAGTATATTTCTTATATCCCTAAGAAAAGTGCCTCTAAAATGCTTCAGCCAACCATGAAGCAATTAGTTACAGAGTGCTAGGGCTTATTTATTTAATCTGTTTAACTCCTTCATGACCAAAAGCCGTCTGAAGTATGGTATCCTTTCATTGCTATGCAATTTCCTACAACATAATGTAACCATGACTTCATGATTAAATTATTGTAGACTGTGCAGAACACAGCCAGCCATCAACTCTACTTTATAAGCCACAATGGCTAGGTTCTCATAGTATGCTAAGCCACCAGAATAGCTCTGTACTTGACACAGAAGAACAGACAAAATTAAGATTCCACCAAAAAATCCTTTCCCCGTTATTATCCATTGGCACTGCCATTTTCACTTCCTTGTGCAGGATGAGTTGTTTGGTGATCACAAATGTTCTGGACAATGTCTTGGCTCAAAAATGGGAAAGATACAGCTTATAATGGAAAAGGCCTGATTCAGCCTCCCAAATGTTTTATTTAGTGGAGTAAGCATAATTGTAGATGTGCTGTGTGGTCTAATAACTCACACTTTTACCCAAAGAAGGCAATAAATAAGTGCATTGTTTTGATGCTGGTGAAAGGTCATCTTACAAGACTAGCCTTTTCCCCAACATGGTGACCTTCACATGTGTTGGTCTCTTCCAGCATGGTCATATTCATGGTGTCTGGACATATTCACAGAGCCCAACATATTTGGAGAAATTACACTGAGGAAGGCTATTAGGAATTTTCTCCTGGTACCACGTCATCCGGATCACAGAATGCTGAAGAATCCACTTTGTCTCCTGCAAAATTCCTCCTTCTCTTAGCTCCCAGTGTTTGGCGCCGACTTTTTGTTCAGTATACAGGCTGTCCTCGACTTACAACCACAACTGAGCCCAAAGTTTCTGTTGCTAAGTGAGACATTTGTTAAGTGAGCTTTGCCCCATTTTACAACCTTTCTTGCCACAGTTGCTAAGTGAATCACTGCAGTTGTTAATACTGTTGTTAAGTGAATCTGGCTTCCCCATTGACTTTGCATGCTAGAAGGTTACAAACAGTGAGCCCAGGACACTGCAACCATTACAAATATGAGAGAATTGCCAAGTGTCCAAATTTTGATCATGCTGCAATGGTTATAAGTGTGAAAAATGGTCGTAATTCACTTTTTTTTCAGTGCCGTTGTAACTCTGAACGGTCACTAAATTTAAGTCAAGGACTACCTGTATGTGATAGAAGTCCAATCTTCCACTAAATACAAATGACACAAAGATGCATGATAACTTACTTACCTGCTTTCCATAGGCCAGCGCCTTGCTGTAGAGAGTGAGACCCACAGTCAGTTTCTCCATCTTCTCCTCTTTGTTTGTTAGCCTGATGTCAAAGGCATAAGCATAGCCCTGTTCAGCCAGGCAACGGGCTGCTCTGACCTGGTGATTTCCCTGCAGTTTGTCTTCTGAATCCAAACCCATTAAGTGGGAGAGTTTCTCAGTGCACTCAGCCTCTTCTTGCTCCTGGTTCAGCCTGTCATAAATGTAGGCCAGATTGGCCCAAGCATTTAAATTCTCAGGCTGTTCTTGAGCGATATGCAGAAAAATCTCCTTGGCTTGCTCCACTTCCTCCAGGTAGAAGGAAAATATCCCGATGAGGTTTTGAATGGCGTTTTGCTGTGAGCCAGTTTCAAACTCCAACTCGTAGAGCAGACTCTCTCGTTTCAATTTCAAGTCTCTCCCTTGGAAGCTGATTGGTGCAGAAGTTTCAAAATTTAAATTCATATCGAGATGAAAGTGACCAGGAATGTAGTCCATCTCATCAATAAGAGTGTCAATGTCCACGGTGGTTTCATCCATTTTCTCTCACCAGTCCAGGAGTCTTCAATTAGCAGCTTTCCCAGGATTTCCTTTCTTTCTCTCCTGTCTTTCAAATTTGTTTACCTTTCTGAATTCTCCTCCTCTTTCTTTACCAGTATTTCTGGTTTAGCTGCTGATTCACATGATGCCTGCAAAAGGAGGAGCCGGATTAAATGCCTCTTCTTCCTTAGTCAACTTGCTGCTTCATATTCGCCATTTGCTCAGTGGATCACCCAAAGTAGAGATCAATTCCAGTGATCAATAACCAGCAAGACTGAAAACCATCACACTGTAAAGGACAGCATGGGAATCAAACGTTTTGAATAAACTACAGCTATATATAAAAAGGTTAATAGTTCAAGGTACAAGCTGTAACACTAATGTATTATGCATTTCAAAATCAGTAGGCTGGAAAGCAAAGCAGAGAGCTTTCTGCATAGCATCTATCTAGGATCTCCATGTATTATGATTGAGTTTGGAGCCTGAGATGCTTGGCTGGGAGCATACTTCAAAACAGAGAGGATGAGGCCAGACAAAAACTCAACTTGATTTCATTTACATTTAAAATCAAATTAATGAATACAACTGTTAATGTATAAATAATAACATTAACATAACATAATTAAAATTTTTGTGTTTCAGCTCCATTAAGTACCATAATTTAGAAAAAAAATTCAAGGGACTGGAAACTCTGAAGTCATATGTGACTTGAAGTCTCCAACTTGTTTATATCTATATTCCAGAACAGGGGTCTCCCAACTTGGAAACTTTAAGACTTATGGACTTCAACTCCCAGAATGCCCCAGCCAGCCATATCTCCAGACGATATGGAGAAAGATCTCAGCGTTGCTTTCCAGTCTACTGATTGTGAAATGATCAAAACACAGCTTTGGGACTGAGCAATGTATAACTGAAGATGAATAATGCAACAGGGCAGGTTATGATTTTTTGCTCAATGTTTTTTCCAAACTGATTAATTCCCAAGTTTTTGTTTGATTCTGCATTTTGTATGGGAGAATCCTTGATATTTCTGTTGCAAGGAGTGGCGGGAAAAACAATAACTCTGTTATCATACAGATAATTCTTCACTTATGGCCACAACTGAGCCCAAAATTTCTGTTGCTAAGTGAGACAGTTGCTAAGTGAGCTTTGCCCAGTGGTGGGATTCAAATACCTGAACAACTGGTTCTCTTATTGGATACAGACCTGGACCTCGAAGGCCTACAATGGACTTCTGGAAGTGGCATCCATGCACTTCCAGTGGGCCATTCTAGGTCTGGGAGGCCTCCTTCTCCAGGCCTCTGAGGCCTAAACTGGACTTCCGGAAACAGTGTGCATTCAGCTGGTTTTCTGAACTCAGCAAAATTTAGCTACCAGTTCAACTGAACCGGTGCAAATCGGCTGAATCCCACCACTGGCTTTGCCCCATTTTATGATTTTTCTTGCCACAGTTGTTAAGTAAACCGATACAGTTGTTAAGTGAGTAACAGGGTTGTTAAGTGAATCTGGCTTCCCCACTGACTTTGTCAGAAGGTCCCAAAAGGTGATCAGAAGATTCTGGGATATTGAAACCATCATAAATACATGCTGGTTGCCAAGCATCCAAATTTTGATCAGATGACCACGGGGATGCTGCAACGGACGTGTGAAAAATGACATAAGTCAAGTTCATCCTGGGTGTCATGGCGACACAGATGAAAGAAACTGAAGTTCTGGTTTCCTAGTCCAATTTCGCTTTGTCTGGAGACCCAAAGAGGTCAGAAAGATGCCCTGGAGAGGCAACGAGGAGAAAGAGAAACCTTGGAGTTCAGAGCCAATGGCGGTTGGCCCAAACAGACCAAGAAAACTCTTTAAACAGGTGGGAGAAAGGCTGCTGGCAGGTATGCAGACAGCCCAAGCCATAGACAGCCGGGGAAGAAGTGAAGAGCTGTGGCAATGCCGCCAAACAGCTGACTGTCAACAACACGTTGAATCTGGGTGAGATTCTTCTTTATTTCTCTTCTCTATGGACTTTAAAATATAAACATCTAGTCTACCAAGTCAGGGATCTATTGAAGCAATGTTACAACGAGAGAAGGCAAACAATCTCCAAAAAGAGATGCATGCGACCTTACAACTAATGCAAGAAATGATGCAGAAGAATCATCAAGAAACAAAAGCAATCTTGATAAGCTAAACGAACAAATGCTTGATATAAAGAAACAATTTGAGGTTCATCAACAAATGATACTTAAAAATGAACAAAGAATTTAGAAGGTGGAAGATCAATTAGAAGATACTGGGGAAAAAATTGAAGCACTAATGACAGAGAATGAAAGATTAGAACAAGCAAATCAAAACCTAGAAGAGCGGTCACTGCTTTGGAAATGGAGAAGGAGGTACACTATTTGAGATTCCAGAACATACCCGATCCAGCAAGAAATGGATGAAATATTTAGAATGATTCAAGTTATGCAAGGAAACACAAATTACCCAGAGAAGTCCATGTAAGATTTATGAAGAAAACAATGAGGGTTGAGATATTAAGAAGAGTTAGAGATGATCCATTACAATATAAAGAGAAGAAATAGTAGTGCTGAAACAGATTCCCAAGAGAATAAAGGATACTCAAATTCAATATCATTTCTTGACTACAAAGCTGATTGCAAAAGGAATAAATTTTAGATGGCTGATGCCAGAAGGGATTTTAATCAATTGGAATAACACAAGATATCATTTGAACTCAGTGTGGAAGGCAGAGGATTTTGTTGAAAGACATAGAGCACTTCTGGGAGAAAGACCACAATATCAACAAGAGATGGAAAAAGCCAGAAACAGAGAGAACAAACAATAAACAATTACACAGGTGGAAGAGGAAAAAGAGAAGACGAATCAAGAAGATGAGGGAACAGTAAGAGAGCAGAGGGTTACGAGATCAACAAGACTTAAATATAAATAAAACAAAATGGAGAAGGAAAATGGAATTTTTTCAGTGAATATAAATGGTTTGAATTCCCCATCAAAAAGAAAAAGAATTTTCAAACAACTACAGAAATTAAACATTGATATAATTTGTTTGCAAGAGACACAGATAAAAAAACAAATCATAATTTTTGGGAAAATCCAAAACTTGGAAAACTTTATTATACATCAGCTCAACAAAAAAAAGAGTAGTTATATATGTCAAAGAGACAACAGATTCCAAAATGATTTATGCAGATGAAGGAAGAATATTAATGGTAGTATATTTAAAAATCAAAAACAAATACTTTTGATAGCAATATATGCACTATATAATAAGCAAGAAGAATTTTATCAAAACCTTCACAGAAAAATAGTAGAAATGGAATATCAAAACATATGCTTAATTGGGGATTTCAATGCAATAGTAGATGGGACATTAGACTATAAAAGCAGTAAATCAGGGAAAAAATAAAATGTAAAATTTATTTGAAAATTCCAGAATGGCTTTTAATAATGGAAGCATTTGTACATCCAAATCTAGTCAGTCTTGATAAAATATGGACATACAAAGATATTCTAAATTCTGAAGGGAACCTAAAATCCAGGCAAGAGATGGAAAATCAGGGCATCGATTTAACATGGTGGTCACATTTACAAATGCAAGTCAGATGTGATAAAGATATTAAACAGTATGGATTTTACGAAGAACAGACTATGTTTGATCAGATATTATTAACTTCTGATGAAAAGTTAATTAAAAAAATGGAAGATGAAGATGAACAAGTAAAAGAGACAATGATAGTATGGGCAAAGAATTTTGGATATAATATAGACTTAGAAAAGTGGCAAAGTTTGTGGGAAAGAAACTATAAATTGACAATGTCAGCTTCATACAAAGAAAATGTATATAAAATGTTTTATAGATGGCATTTGCCACCAACAAGATTAGCAAAAATGTTTAAAACATGTCAGAGAAATGTTGGAAATGTAAACACAGACCAGGTACTTATTATCATATGTGGTGGACATGTGTTAAAGCAAGGAGATATTGGACAATAATCCACACTTGGTTAGAAAAAATGTTAGAGAAACACATAGACTATAAACCTGAATTTTTTTTTAACTAGGTATAATGCCAGAAAAACGTGATAAGCAAAGAATATACATGATCCTACATGTGATAACAGTGGGAAGAATTATATTTGCACAATATTGGAAGAATGAAGAAATACCACCAGAAGAAGAAATAATAAAAAAAAATATTAGACTGTGCGGAAATGGACAGACTTACTTTAAGGTTGAAAGAAAAAGAAGAAACAGAATATTTTCAATCTTGGGACCTATTTTATCAATGGTTAGAGAAAAGATTTAGGGATTAGGGATTTAATTTGTATTAGTGAATAAGATACTCAGACAACATGTTTTTGTTGAATAATTAGCATTGAACTCTGTTAAAAAATAATAATAAAACTTTAAAAAAGTGCCATAAGTCACTTTTTTCAGTACCATTGAATGGTCACTGAACAAACGATTGTAAGTTGAGGACCACCTGTATAGCAAATGTGCTAACTTATATCTAAAGTTGTTATTGCATCTTAGATTAGGTAACTCTAGCTTTTGGTTCTCTTTTTAGTTCAAAGTGAGGGAACAGAAAGCTCTGCTACTGCTTTTCTGCTTCTTGCATAACTAAAAAATGCTGCATTCTGAACTCTGGATTGTATGTGTCCCCAAGAAAAACTTGCTAAAACCCTTCAAATGTTAAATAATATGTGCTTTAGAACAGGGATCCTCACCCTGTGGGCCATGGCCCACTGGTTTGCAAGGAGCCTGCAGAAATGGTTGGTGCACAGTGTGCATGCACGTGCATCCTCACTTGTGAGAGCAGTGGGTGAGTGCATGCAGTCTACTTAAGTGAGTAGCAGGCACTTGTGTACACTGCTTGTGCAAATGCGTGCGCTTGCCAGCCACTCACACAGAACCATCCTCTCTTCCCCCCCCCCCCGCCGGTCCACAAAGCTGGAAATGTTGGGGTGCTCTGCTTTAGAATACTAAAATACCAGGCTTCCAACAACACAACAAAGCATTATATGTTAAGCTGACTCTGCCAATGGATGATCTTGTGTTATTTCTTCAATGCATATAAAGAAATCTGATATCATAGGGTTAGTAAGGAATGGTTCATTAGCATCAAGGCCAACCACACTAGCTGAGAATTATGAGAGTTGTGGGCTAATGCTGGGGATTAGTATGAGCAATATAAATCAAAGAAGGAACAATTGTGGTATGTGTCCTCCCTAAATATATCCATACTATTCTTTCTGCTACTCTTTCTTTACTATTACTTTACAGTTGCCATGAAAGGCCAGTTGGGCAGGATCTAACCATCTCTTCCAAGCATAGTCCAAGACTGAGCTGGAATAGCTGCCAGCAGCACTGACAAGTCTTTGTGAACATAGCCGGTTGCCCTGAAGACACACCTCTGTTAGGACCATGGAAACAGAAGCTCCAGCGTCCAGTGTTGTCATGGCAGTAAAATTCCAGAGCCATTTTCTTCTACAGCTGCCAATCAGGAGAGTGATCCTTCTTTTTCTTTTCTTCTGGGCAGCAGAAGATGGAAGATGGAAACAAAGGGCTTCACAGGTGCCCCCTTTTGGACTCAACAAGCTAGGTAAGGATAACTTCACAGAATTCAGGGCAGCTGCATTTGTGTCTCTCTCTCTCCCCCACTGTCTCTTCACACACACACACACACACACACCAAATGTTGAATTTATTCTTCCCTGGTGCGAAGTTGCCAATTATCACACAAGGCAGGAAATTTTTTTTTTAATTTTATTATTTTATTTTCATTACAATCATAAGAAAAAAAAATTCAGATACATAACAAGTTAAAATACAACACACAAATTCCGGCATTGCTCACCCATTTCCCCCCAAACCACATCCCCCTCTCATCTTTTCACTTCCCCCTTCCTTCTTCTTCCTCACTCTCCTCCTCTCCTCCCTCTCTCCTCCATCTTTCTACTTGCTTATCCCTCTCCTCTTCTTTTCAATTGGATGCTGTCTAGGGGAAAATGCCCGAGCAATCCTCTATCACCAAAATGGCAGGAAATTGTTTATTTGGTACAGATAGTCCTCAATTTACAACCATTCATTTAATGACCATTCAAAGTTACACGGCACTGAAAAAAGGGACTTATGACTGTTTTTCACACTTACGACCCATTGCAGCATCCCCATAGTCACAAGATCAAAATTCAGATGCTAGGTAACTGGCTCTTATTTATGATGGTTGCAATGTCCCAAGGCCATGTGATTATCTTTTGTGACCTTCTGACAACCAAAGTCAATGGCGAAGCCAGATTCAGTTAAACATCCGTGTTAATAACTTAACAACTGCAGTGATTCACTTAACAACTGTGGCAAAAACTCTTCCTTACCACTAACTGGAACCATAACCTGCAAAAGAGTAGAGAAACATGGAAGAGTGTGTTTGCCATTCCTAGTTCTTGGAATGGGTCAGAAGGATACCGTGATCGATGGCAGAGAAAAGATTCAGAGATCAGTAGTGCCAGGTTGCATTCCCCTATCCCCGTCCTACCAGAAATCATCAATAAATGGGATTAATGCCACCTTTGTGGTGAACCTGGATCTGAAGCTCAACAAAAAACAGGCTCAGATAATCTATTTCCTCCAGTGTCATCTGCAGCAGCAATCCAACTGCTTTCTCCACAAGCTTTCTCCAAAAGTGGAGGATAGAAATGGAATGGAATAGAATAGAATAGAATAGAATAGAATAGAATAGAATAGGATGCATTAAATGTTTTTGTTGTTAATTTGTTTGAAAATAGAACTTTGTTTCATATTTTCCACGAAAGAGATCTAAAACAAGATGGATTGATGACATCACCAAGTATTGCGGGCCCAATTGTCAAAAGAAAGCTCAGGACCGAATTGGTGTGTGTGTGTGTGTGTGTGTGTGTGTGTGTGTGTGTGTGTGTGTGTATTATGATGTATACACAAACACACACACACACACACACACATCATAATGTTAATACTATAAAATAGTAATAATTGCATCATATGCTGTTTTCATTTAGAGTTTCTGGGCACTATGGATAATACATCTTCTTTGTGATAGCCCTTCAAATATTGGAGATAATAATAAAAAAATATCAACATTTAATTGCTGTTGTCAGCACGATATAAGCCTGAATGCTCCATATTTTACAACAATGGTGCTCTATATATCTCTTTGCTTTGTTCAGTCCCTGGCACTTCTTGGAAAACCACAGGATGCCCTTGGTTCGTAAGAGGCCATTCAGGTATAACTTCCATATTCTGACAGTGATTAAGGCTTCGAGTGAGCTGCCTCCCCAAAGGCCATGAAACCTGTTTGTTTTACTCCTGGAACCTCAGGTTGAGAGGCAAAGCACAAGTCAGAGAAAACACTGGCTCTGTTTGAGTGAACTTTTGTTGTTATTGTTACTCTTATTTTCTCAGAGAAATCCCATAGAGTTCCACATGTGTGAAATTACACCCCCACCCACATGTGAGCTGCCTTCACTACCAATCCTACAAATGCCCTCCTCCACACATAAATGTGATCCTAAGTGGTGACAGGGGGACCGATAAAAACCTGTGGCCCAGTTAAGCCAAGTTATTATATTCATTGACCATATCTCAAAAGTGATAAAGCTAGCACACTGACCTAGTAAGAAGTGATAACTAATAACAAGGTCACTAAGTTGCTTTATCAGAAACATTTCAATATCATGCAACTTTGTTTGCCTTTATTTTTCTTGTCATTGTAAAGTACTAGGCCAAAGGTATATAAGCTGTGGTTTACTTTTGCTCAAGGCTGCTCAGTTAATTAATTAGGGAGTTGCCACAAAGAAGAGGGAGCCAAGCTATTCTCAAAGCACCTGAAGACAGGACAAGAAGCAATGGGTGGAAACTAGTCAAGAAAGTACCAACCTAGAACTGAGGAGAAATTTCCTGATAGTGAGAACAACTAATCAGTGGAACAACCTGCCTCCAGAAGTTGTGAATGCTCCAACACTGGAAGTTTTTAAGAAGAGACTGGAGAGCCATTTGTCTGAAATGGTATAGGTTCTCCTGTTTGAGCAGGTGGCTGGACTAGAAGACCTCCAAGGTCCCTTCCATCTCTATTCTGTTCTATACTGTAATTAATCAAGGTTGCAGAGCTGAGCTTGTTAACCTGTGGTTAGCACCTTTTAGGGAAGCGCTGTGCTGCAAGAACAATGGCTTAGGAAGAGACAGTTTGTGGAGATAGGTTGTATAAGCAATCTCTCCCCTCTGCAGGGAAAGAAAATGAGAGAAAGGGGGTGGGGAATGCAAAAACAAACAAACAAAAAACCCAGTTAGGCAATCAGGCACAGGACACTCATTAGATCTTTCAAGGTTTACCAGCAGAATGATAAAGCAGCTTAAATACAGTGTCTCAAAATCACAAATGTTTCCTGAGTGCATTACATATGGTATTAGGTAAATGGGAAAAAAGTCATATTTTTTCCAAGCTGTTTATTTAAAATAGTTTTCCTATTTCTTTGCTTTCAAAATCACACAGCCTAGAATATGTAACAGACTTAATTAAGTGGTCTTCCTCAGCTCAATATCTTTATATGTCTTTACCTATACAGCTCCTCACCATAAGCCAGAAGGTCAATTTCTTCTCACATGTTTCATGCTGAGGAAACCTCCTGTATAAACACTTGGATTTTAATATAAATTTTAATGTAAATTACTAAATTACTATGAATTATAGCTGATGGAATGTGAAAGAATTGCCACTTGTACAATGTCATGTTCCTTTCTCTCTTTTTTGCTGCGGGCCCATGTCTATACATTCTCAGATCTGCTGTGTAGGTTTCTTGCTGCTCTAGAGCAGATTTGAAATAAGCATGTGGAAAAAAGAGAGGACTCAATTCTGTCAAGTAGAGGTAATTAGATAAAGCCCTGTGTTCAAATTCTGTAGATCAGAATCACCTCATGAGCAGCCACATGCAGGAATATTAGAATTTACATATAGTAGACTTCTAAAATCGTTCTGAGTCAGGTACAGAAGTCCCTTGCTGGCTGAGGAATTCTGGGAGTTGAAGTCCACAAGTCATAAAAGAGTTAAGGTTGCCTACCCCTGCCCTGGACTACAAGTTGTCTACTAACCATTGGCAATGCTGATTGGGATGATTAACAGCACACAAGTTCTTCATCCCATCCTAATTTGGAGTGTCCTCCTATAACAAAACTTCTGTACTCACCTCAAATGACCAGTTTGAGGTCATTTGCTGCTTCCTTATTTTGTCATAGAGACTGGCTAGTTTTTGTATTTTTTTGGCTAAAATGTTACTAAAGGCAAAAGAAAAATATTTTCATCTCTGGGATGTTATTCTTCTGACCGTGTATTCTGAATGCGTTTTTTTTCTTGGTTAGATTTGATGTATCAGCCATTTATCCTAATTACAAGAAACCCAATACTTACCTCCAGGCCCCATACTGTAAGAGCGTCTGTTCAGAATTGGTGAGTATATTTCTTAATGTATCTCACATCTGCAAAGTAAAACTATTTTTCACAGTTTCCTATTTATGAGTTGAACAAGAAAATACAATTTTTTACAATCAAAAGGATCTTTTTGAAACCTAAAGCATATAGTTTGAACCCACTTCCTGTATAATTTCTAGGGACTTTCTGTTTCACAGAAATTTTGGGCTAAAAGATGTGGGAAACCTATAAAAATCAGCATCATTACTCTCCAAAATGCCATGAATTCTGATGTCCCTTTTTAAAATTTCCTGGTATACTGTTGTGTGCAAAGAAAGATCTCATCCCTAACCCAGAAAGTCTTTCTACAATATATTGCCTTTTTGCTTCTTCCATTGGTGTACTTTTTTTTTTCATTTTGAATTTCCAAAAATGTAGGAGCATGATCACTATGTTGGAATACAACAGATGCAGCCATGTCTTGGCTGGTGTTTTACAGAATTACACAGAGAAAGCAGAATGACCGTACCAGCTAACATCTGGAGACAAATGTCTGGTTAGGTTATAATATGCTTAGGTTTTGCTTCATGTCAGCCATTCAAAGTTGACCAGACTAGTAACCAAAGTAAGACCCAACAGGAAAATAAATCCTAACGTGATTTTGTAATATAAGCCCCACCCAAAAAATAAACCCCAGTTAAGATCGTCAGTCAGACAGACACCATATAGTACTGTATTTCCCCCAAAATGAAACCTAACTGAAAAATAACCCCTAATGCATCTTTTGGAGCAAAAATTAATATAAGACCCAGTCTTATTTTCAGGGAAATACAGGTACTTATAATACTATTATTACAAGGTTGTAGTAGCAGAATCTTGCAAGTCTGAATAGACTTCTCTTCTCCCTCTTTTTATCTTTGGGAGCTATCTTGGAGGTCTTGCCTAAGATGATTTTGCTGGGTGTAATTTTGACCCGGACTTAAAATTTCTTTTATCAGACAATTGTTTTGGTTGCATCATTTCTTCCTGTTTGGAATGTGGCTCAAGATCCCAAAACAAACAAACTCACTTGGAATTCCAGTAACAAAGTTTTATTCAAAAAGAAGCGTTTGCAAAGGCTTGATGAGCTGAAACACACACACACACACACACACACACACGCGCGCGCGCGCGCTCGCGAGCAGGCGGTCAGCCACACCTCCAAGAGCTGTTTGACATATTCTTATCTGGGTACCTAGTTCCAGTTCTTATCTTATCTAGCACCATCTTCTTTTCTATGACGAAGCTTCCTTCTCATTTGTCTGCGGTTATGCCTTGAGCTCTAAACTTTATATACAGATGTTGTTTTTCTTTTACTTGCAGTTTCAGTTAGCTAGCAACTCTTGCTTCTCACATTTGTACTTGTCAACATTTTAGATAAGATAGATAGACAACCTTAATTGTTATTTATGATTTTCAGGTGGCTTCTTCTAGCAACTTTTAGACTCATTAGAAATTTCTGAATAATACTTCATTCCTTTCACTCCTATTCCTCAAGGCTATTCCCTCTGCTCATTATTCTTAGTGTGATATGAAATGTATCATTTGTGGTTAAAAATCATAGCTTCCTTCTGGAACTCTGGGTTAGAATCAACATAGGTGGTGCCTGCAGAGGAAGAACAGATAATACATGTTATGTCCCGAGCCTTGCAAACGGCTCAGGGCGTTTGCAGGCAGTCCCGGGCAGGTGCAAAGCTGCCCGGGACCAGACAGGCTGTCGCCAGCGCCGTGCGCATGCGCGGGTGCTGGCGCGGGAAAAGTATCGCATTGACCCGGGAAATGCCTCTATAAGAAGCTGGGAGGTTTTGGGAGCTGCTGAAGCCATCTACTTGTGAGCTGAACACAGAATAAAGAAAACTGAGAACTACAACTGCTTCTCGTGTCTGCTTTCCGCCAAGGACTCAACACTGGCGACGAAGGTGGGATGCCTTACATCGCCTGGAAAGGAAGAGGTGTAAGCTTACCCAAGTGAGTCCTGAGCGGCGGAACGGCGTTGACTCGGCAGCTACTCGCCAATCCAGTGCGCATTCGGGGGTAGGCTGGCTGATAGACCCGTCTCCTGAAGATTGCAAAGGTTGGAAGGCTTTCGGAGTTCGACGTCTCACATCCAGAGCGGTGGGAGTCCTACGTAGCCAGGGTGGAGAACTACTTCAAGGCAAACCAAGTAAGGGAAGAGAGCTTGAAGGCTGCCACCCTGCTTTGTGTTTGCGGTCAAGACGCCTTCGAAATCGCAGAAAACCTTGCAGCACCTGTTCCAGTAGAGTCTGTCAGCTACGCAGATCTGAAGAAGCTACTGAAGGAGCACTTCCAGCCCACGATGTCCGTCATCGCATGGCGCCACACCTTCGAGCAGAGGGATCAACGATCCGGTGAATCGGCCAAAGAGTACATCGCCGCATTAAGGAAGGCCGCCAAGCACTGCGAGTTCAAGGACCTCGAAGAACGACTGAGGGACCGATTCGTGTGCGGGTTAAGGCATCGAGATCTACAACAGAGGCTTTTCGCTAAAGAAGAATTGTCCTTCCAAGATGCCTTAAGAGAAGTCACCGCAGAAGAAGCAGCAGGCGGCGCCGTCAAGAACATGCGGCCGATCAGAAACAGTCCGGAAGTTGCATCCGTGCACCAGGAAGACGTCCAAGGAAACTCCGAGGAGGATCCGGACGAGGAAGTCGACCGTCTCCACCCAACGAAGGAAGGAAATCAGAAGGGAAGCTCTTCAGCTCCACTCAAGTGCATCGGCTGTGGAGGTCGCCACAGGAGAACCGACTGCAAGTTCCGCTCCACTACCTGCCGGGCATGTGGCAAACAAGGACACATTGCAGCTGTGTGTCTGGGCCGACGAAAGGTACAACCTCAGGAAGAACTGCGCCTGAAAGGTACCAGGGTCCCCAGCCAGAATAGGGTAGGGTTTTGCGCTTCGCGAAGAAGCATCCTCAGGACAGGCACACACAAGCCCATTAAAAAAAAGCTGTCACTCAAGGTGAAGCTACAAGGGGTTCCATTAACTATGGAACTAGACACAGGGTCTGCCCTTTCAATCATCTCCTTGCATACATTTAGAAAGATTTGTTCCGGTAGTGGAACTCAGGCCAAGTTAAGGCCTTCTGACATTGTGTTAACAGATTTTCAAAATTCAAGAGTGTGTGTTAAGGGGGAGGCCACCCTTAACGTGCAATACAAGAGTTTTGAAGGTCCACTAGACTTATTAGTAGTAGGGGTGAACGAACGAGTCTCATAGGACTCGATTGGTTTGAGGCCCTGGGGATACACGTCACAGGACTCAACAGTTTACAAACACTCGACCTACAGGAAGTCTGCAAAGAATTTGCAGATGTTTTCATCCCCCAGCTGGGCACATTCAAAGGACCCCCTGTGTCCTTAAAGCTAGACCCCACTGTCACTCCCATTAGAATTAAAGCAAGAAGGGTCCCTTTTGCTTTAAAGAGTAAAATTGACACTGAGTTAGACAAACTGATCCAACAGGGAATTCTAGAACCTGTTGATTCCAGTCCTTTGGAGACCCCCATTGTCACGCTTCTAGAGGCAAATGGGGACATTCACATTTGTGCTGATTACAAATGCACTCTTAATAAGGCATTGCAGCAACATGCCTATCCTGTTCCTGTGGTCAGTCATATCCTGGCCTCCCTCAAGGGGGGCGCGGTTTTGCAAAGCTTGACCTAGCTCAAGCGTATCAACAGCTGCCTGTTGATGATGCTGCTGCTATAGCTCAGACTATTGTGACCCACAGGGGAGCCTTTAAGGTAAAAAGGCTACAGTTTGGCGTGAATGTCGCTCCTGGGATTTTCCAAAGCGTAATGGAAAACACACTACGGGGCATACCGGGGGTTTGCCCCTACTTTGATGATGTCTTAATTGCAGGAGACTCCACACACATTTTAGCTGAAAGGCTAAGGGCTGTTCTGTTAAGATTCAGGAAAACAGGCCTCAAGCTCAAAAAAGACAAATGCAAAATTGGGGTGCCTTCTACTGAATTTCTGGGATTCAAAATTGATGCTGCTGGGATTCACCCTGCTGAATCCAAACTAACTGCTATTTTAGAAGCACCTAGGCCAAAGTCTAAGGCCAAACTTCAGGCCTTCCTGGGCCTCCTGAATTTCTACAATTCCTTCCTTCCACATAAAGCCAGTGTGGCTGAGCCTCTTCACAGGCTACTAGACAAGCAAGCAGTGTGGCACTGGTCACAAACACATGAGGCTTGTTTTAACAAAGTCAAGGCCTTGCTCACTTCTAACAGTGTACTTGCACATTTCAACGAGTCCCTTCCTGTGTTCATCGCTTGTGATGCATCCCCTTACGGGGTAGGAGCTGTCCTGAGTCACCTCAGGTCTGATGGAACTCAGGTTCCTGTTGCATATTACTCCAGAACATTGTCTTCTGCTGAGCGCAACTACGCTCAGATAGACAGGGAGGCTCTGGCTTTTGTTGCTGGAATTAAAAAATTCCATGATTTTCTATATGGCAGGCATTTCACGGTCTTCACTGACCATAAGCCTCTGCTGGGACTGTTTACCACACGTAAGCAGACTCCCCAAATCATTTCCCCTAGAATGCTTAGGCGGTCTATTTTTTTGTCTGCATATGATTTTTCTTTACTCCACAAGCCTGGGAAAGAAATGGGCCATGCTGATGGCCTCAGTAGATTGCCTCTGCCAGTAGTAGAAGCTGACCCTGTGCCAGCTGTCAACATTCTATCAATCCAAGCCTTGCTCGAGCTCCCTCTTAGTGCCAGGGATGTTGCCGCTGAAACAGGTACAGATCACACACTTTCACGTGTCCGTTCCTGGGTTTTGTCTGGTTGGCCTGAGCACTGCCCTAGTCCTGATTTTCAGAGTTTCTGGTCCAAAAGGAACGAGCTGTCCCTTTCTCAGGGTTGTCTGCTTTGGGGAAACAGAGTTGTCATTCCCACCTCAATGAGGACTAGGGTCTTAGAATCCCTCCACGAGGGTCATCCTGGCATTGTTCGTATGAAGGCTCTTGCGCGCAGCCACTTGTGGTGGCCTGGTTTAGATACAGATATTGAGGCTAAGGTGCATGCATGCCACCTGTGCCAACGATCTTGCCCAGAGATGCCCCAAGCTCCCGTGCATAGATGGGAGGAAACACAGTCCCCATGGTCTAGGGTGCACATTGACTACGCTGGGCCCTTTCAGGGCCAGTTCTTCTTGGTCCTTGTTGACAGCCATTCAAAATGGCTTGAGGTTGTACCTGTCTCATCCACCCCCACTGCAAAGACTATTCAGGTACTGAGGGGGATTTTTGCTGCACACGGGCTTCCAGATGTCATTGTGTCTGACAACGGCCCTCAATTCACTTCCTCCGAATTCCAAGCTTTCTTACAGGCAAACATGATTCGTCATGCCACGTCTGCACCCTTCCACCCGTCCACCAACGGTATGGCTGAACGTATGGTGCGCATCACAAAGGACGCATTGAAAAGACTCACCTACGGGGACTGGCATCACAGGTTGGCTAACTTTCTCCTTTCTTATCGCACCACACCGTCCACTTCTACAGGGAGAAGCCCAGCTGAACTTCGTTGGGGGCGTCCACTTACTACTAAACTTGACCGGTTGCATCCGGACAGACTGCCTTCATCTACCTCACATCCTAGGGCACCTAGACAACTACTTGTGGGTGCCCCGGTCTGGACTCGCAATTACGGGCCTGGTCATACATGGGTCCCCGCTTCTGTTTCCAGGGTCACGGGTCCTCTATCCTACGAGGTAGCCCTGGACAACGGTCGTGTCCTGCGCAGGCACATCGACCAACTCCGCCCTAGGCGGCATCTTCCAGCTGAGACTCCTGGGTCTTTTCCAGGGGGGGAGGGGGACCCTTTGGAGCAAAGGGACGGGCACGAGTTGCTGCCCATCTCCACTGATGGAGCCACTGACGGCCCATTTCAAGCTTCCGCAAGTGCTCCGAAAAGGAATTCATGGAGCTTACCCACACAACAGGCACTCACACCTACTCCAGCCAGGGAGTCACCCCGGGGGCATACTCACTTTCCACACACATCACTCAATACTCCAGTCACGGAGGATACCTGGGAGCATCCCAACAAATCATTCCCCGAAAGAGAGCTGGCACACAATCCCCAGAGTTGACCTGACCTTACCCCTAATCCTACAGCGGGTCAAACTTACAGGGAGGTGGTCGAGGAACCAAGTCCCGACCGCAACACCTCTAGCCCAAATCAGGGAGTAACTGAGTTTTGGGAAGGTACAGAGACCCACACGAGCCCAGACACAGAACGGGGCTTAGGGATTGGACAGCCTCCTGACAGGTCTTGGACGGACCTAGGAGGTTCTATAGAGACGCCCAGCAGTGGCTATCACTTCAAGGGGCCTGAGGACCTACAGCTAGGCGGGTCAACCAGGTCACAAAGTGACAGGAGCCCTGGCCTGACGAGCCCGGTTGGCAAGCAAGCAGGCCAGGCATTGGGGCAAAGTCCTTGGAAGGCACCAAGGCATGATAAGGGGAACAGGCTCTTGTCACCCCTCAGTCAGGGAACACCTGTCAGAAACCCAGAACTGAGAAGGTCACAGAGAGCAAGGAAATCTCCTAAATACTTAGAAGATTACATAACATTGCTGGCTAAACAAAAGCCAGGTAACGATAGGAGCACTGGGAAGCAGAACACTGCATAAATAAATGATTATACGTTGGTAGTAGTTTTAGCCCGGGGGAAAGGGGTGTTATGTCCCGAGCCTTGCAAACGGCTCGGGGCGTTTGCAGGCAGTCCCGGGCAGGTGCAAAGCTGCCCGGGACCAGACAGGCTGTCGCCAGCGCCGTGCGCATGCGCGGGTGCTGGCGCGGGACAAGTATCGCATTGACCCGGGAAATGCCTATATAAGAAGCTGGGAGGTTTTGGGAGCTGCTGAAGCCATCTACTTGTAAGCTGAACGCAGAATAAAGAAAACTGAGAACTACAACTGCTTCTCGTGTCTTACCTTTCCGCGAAGGACTCAACAATACATATATGGTTATGTATTTCCATCTGGACATCACTAGTGTAAATTACATACTCGTATCATTAGTGCAATGACCTCACAATGCATATGTTGTCATTTTGACATAATCATGGTTTTTAATAGCTATTGCTTCTTAACCTTTTGGCTAAAATCAAGGGTAATTTATTATCCTTGATAACTTAATTATTGGTAAATAAATAGTTACTGTATTTACTGCCCATGGTAATTTATTTATTTGAACAGATGCTATGAATTCATACACCACATTAAGCCAAAAACAGTCCACCTCATGATTTAGCACTTTGTATGAACCAGGCAATAGTGTATCAAAGACAATATGAGACCTATTATAGATGTTATGAACTCTGATTTCTATTACCTTTGAATACTAGCCATTCTGGCTAGCTTAATGGGAACAGTAGTCAACAAAATCTGGATAGCACATAGTTGTGGAAAGCTGACTTATAGCACTTTGTACCTGATCTAGTTCCGGTTAGTCTATTTTTCAAGGTGTATCTATGAATGAGAGAACAATATTAACTTCATACTTTCTTTAGTGTCGAAAATTAGGACCGGGCTCCTACGTGACCGACAATGGAAGCTTCAGCTCTACTGCCTTGCAGAAGAGGGCATCAAGCTCTAGCTGGGCAAAGGCTCAGGAAGCAGCTAGACTCACTCAAATGCCACATTTTAAATTTAAAGAAATATGCCAGCAGGAGAAAGCTCGGGTGAGTGGATTCTGTTTAGGTCCATGGCACTGAATGCTGAGAATGCATTCGTTGAATCCATGCATTCACTGAATCAATAACATCTCAAAATAAGCAAGGTAACAAAATTTTTTGTTGTGCCCCCATGTTTGTAAATTCCTCAGAAATGCCTCATTTTTCAGGCTCCAGCTAACTGATATTAAGTCTACCCGGTCTGTCTGCAAATGTCTGATTGGCCACTAAATGCAGAATGATTCTGGAAAATTTATTCCTTTATTATTAGCTAGTAAAAACTTACAGAGACCCGGTAGACTTGTAGTATAGTATGGTTCTCATACATTTCCTTGAACATAAGTAGAAATATCTTTGGAATTATAGAGCCTGATTTATCGGACAGGTGAAGCACGAAGGGGACTATCCATTTTAATAGAACTTAATTCCAAGGGTTTTTTTTAGAACTACATCCATTCTTCCCCTTCTAGGACTATCACATTGTCACCCAGCAATGTTCCTCACAGCAACACTAGAATTCAAAACAATGAATTCCATCCATCCGTCCATTCATCCCATTCCTTTGTAACAGTATTCTCTTAGGTGGGCCACTCAACAATGGCAAATGTTAAGTTAAAGACTCTCAGAAGGTAACTTGTCACAATGCTGTGCAATTATTCTCAGAAATATACAAGTGTTATGAATAATTTTATTACTTTCCTCCAACATTTTTGAGACCTTTGCTCAAAATCTTCTAATTTATGTAAAATTCTGCATTATATAAAATTATCTATGATCTACATCCTTGGCTAGAGACAGTTTTTGATATTTCTTTACTTTCATTTAGCGGGCATTCCAATTTCTGTATGTCGGATATAACCCCAAGAACACATAAATACAATCTAATATTTCTTTAATTCACAGATCCCTGGCAAACACATTCACTTTTCAGTTGATCATTTGAGCGTTCAGGAACATGTTATTATAGAGGAGAGGAGACAAGATTCAACACTCACCCTAATCAAAATTCCCTATTGTTATTAGAAATGATAAAACAATAGTTGTGTGCAAAAATGCTAGGGTACAAAAATACATTCAAATGCAATATGTATATGTGTATCTCTCTCGTCCTCTCTCTCCCTCAAGTCTTTCTAACAGTTGATAATGGGCAATTCAAGAGATACACATCTATTTTCTCAACTATATTCTCATGTTTATTTTTCTCCAAGAAAAGAAAACTGGGACCAGGGACTTATAATCATACAGATTTTCTGCAGCTCATGGAAAGACGTCCACACAGTATTAGAGGAATTTGTGATACTGGAGCAATAAGATTTAAAGACCGCATGAGGGTATGACCTGATTTTATCTTTGCTGGAACTAATAATTTGAAGAACATTTAAAAAAGAAACTAAAAGTTAGACTGGCTTCTAGGTTGTTGTTTTATCACTCATCATTATTAGAATAGAATGATTCATATATTCTATTACCCTTAGCACAGCCATCTGATTAAGGTGTATGTAGTTCAGCACATTTGAATGATGTTTACTTGGATAAATCAGCACTACAGTTTCTTTGTGAAACATAATCATTGAGAAAGATTAATTAGACATTGCTAATTGAAATATGGAGAGATGGTATGAGATGTAGAATAGTTCATTATAACTGGGGGGAAAAAAAGCTGGGATCATAAGTGAAGTCCAGGAAAATCAACCAACCAACCAACCAAACAGAACAAAACAACCAAAAATTCATGTTTATAAGGTATTATAATTTGTTGAATATGTATCTTTTTCATTGGTTCTTGCTGTGGCACAGGTCTAAAAATAAGATTATTTTAAAGCCAGTTGGAGATTATTTGATTTCCACAAGGGAACTTTGCATCTATAAAGTCTGCATTGTGGGGCAGTGAGATTCTATACATCTCAACATCAGATTACTGGCTATATTTATGGGATATATTTCTTCATGTTATTTGGACCAGGTTTTACACAATTAATCTTATTTTTTGAGTTTACACTGCAGACTGAACCAAAACCAAGCTGGGTTCACACAACATAGTTGATTAAAATGCATCTAGGTACGAACCATATAAACCCAGCCACATCCAACAACTTAGAAGACCCTGTGTTGGGAAAGTTTGCCAGGACTCTCCAGTGCACAGAAAGAGAGGAAGCAGAACTCAGATGAGTTACTGTAATGTAAGAATATGGATGCCAAGTATTGGAAGCTGACGTTTCTCCCTACAATTGGAAGTTTCACTGCATTGTCATTCCTGATTCCAACCCAGAACCTAGTGTCTTACTGTTTTAAATTATAACTACCAATAAGCACCAGAGAGCATGGTTGGTGGTCAGGAAATATGATAGCTGTTGGCAAAAATTCTGGAGAGTACCTGGTTATTTATTTTGGGTCTAGCTAGTCAATGGTATTGACTAGACTGAGATATTTTGCCTAATAACATGATGATGGCTGTGACAATGGTGGCTAGAAGAAAGCAAAGGTGGGTGAAATCATCCTTTGCTGTTTTTAGGTTGATGCCTCCTCTCTTTCCCCCTCACCGCTATGTTTTCCCCATCAAAAAGGCTGCCGATAAAGGAACAGATTGCTTTTTCTATAGATCTGATCTAATTATCTGGGAAGAGTTTCTTCTCTCATTCAGCCTGTATTGTCCTCCCTCAATCTCTTGGCTCATTCATTTTCTCTCCCTTGGGCTTACTCAGGTATGTATAACAAGGAGGGGACTGTTGGAATAACAATAACAGGTGGCATCTGCGGTGGGCAGGAGAACAGCAAAATAAATCTAACTAGCAGTTGCAACCACGAGAATGAAGCCCTGGCCCTTTTGCACATGCATCAGCATTGTGTGTCTGTATGTATAAAAGATGGGATTTTGATTGCATGGGTGCTACCATGCTCTTGGATTTTTTTAATCACTTCCTTGCCACTTCACCTAAGTAAAAATAATTTCAGCTTAGTGCCATAAAGATGTAGAAGAGTAGAGTTCATCCAGGTGCCAACATAATTCAGTAGTTATCTATTCATCTTCTTTAGAGTTGGATAATGCATGTTATTCTGGCTTGAAAATATAAAAAGTTTTAGTCTACTCTCCATGTTGTTGTCCATAAATACTGTATACTATCTAGCTGTGATTACATGGTATACTGTACCAGAAATAAGCCAGTCACATTTTAATGTAGTAGAGTGTTATGCAATCCAGCATAATCCTGCAATGATGCAAACTGGCAACACTTATGTAAAGATTGCATGATATAAAACCTGCTCTTATGTATTTGTGTCTTAACATTGCCATAAGTGTATGAGACACATAGTTATGTCCTGCTGTATATTTTTCATTTTTCTTCCTTTCCTCTTGACATTAAACCATGACTCTGATGCCTTTGGTGTTCCCCAGCCAGCTATATGTTTAAAACAAGCTTGCCAGATCCTTGACTAACTGAATCCAATCCATTTGTTCAGATTAAGTAACCCTGATAAGGGAGACCTAAGATTGGCATTTGGATTACGGATTGTCCATTTCCATCAAAATAATCTGAAATCCATACCCTTTTTGTGAAATCTCTGCTGGCAAATCTCTATCCCTGAGCATGTGTTGAAAAAAAAGAAAGAACAAGTTTGAAGGAAAAGATACATCTTTTACTCTTGATGCTCTTAGAAGCTACTGCCAGGTAGACAATTTGCTTCTTCAGCAATGAAATTACGTTTCTTCCTCAGAGAAATGTTGGCAACTGATGGTAACTAACTGATTGAGGTTGGTAACTGCAACACAAGAGTGACTCATGGTGGCTCAGTAGGTGAAAATCAATTTTGTATGACCACCATTCTACTTGTGAGAAAAATAATCAGATCTCTAATACAACCACAACTGCAATGCTTTGCATATTGCTTTAATACCTTTATCTTTTATTTTTTAGGATACAGTTATCTGACTTTCTCATGGTTTTCTGGGGAAGATTGTAATATTTATTTATGGTTAGCCTTTCCCTGTCTGGCATTACTAGCTGTAATATGATAATCCAGCACACAATTAGGGAAAGCTGTGCCCCATTAATATATTCCCAAAAATACTTTAATACTAGGAAAGTCTTGCAGGCAAGGGCTGGGGCAAAAAAATCAAGATGGCAACTATGGACAGACAATCTCAGTGCTGCCCCTGAGATTGTGCATATGCAACACACATGAAAGGAGGTAAGATTTTGATTTCAGGTTATGGTTGCCATCTTGAGTTTTCATCTACTTTTTATCCCATCCTTCTGCCCATCATTCTCATCAATGTGTCAAAACTGATAATAAAATATTAATTTTATTATTCTACATTTGTGAGCCCGGAATGTGAAGTGCATACATTACTTAAAGGAAATCAATATTTAGCATTTTTTTCTACTTAAAAGGGCTTGAACTGTTTATTATGCAGGAAAAGCTAATATATAATCTTCAGATTGATGCTTATCTAAGCACCAATGGATGAAGATTAGGTTTCTCCATTGCTTGGCTTATGTGCTTGTCATTGCAACATAACAAACAGATAGCCAAGAAATAAGCAAATTTCCTATTCTGACAAAGTCTCTATTCATACAGCAGGTTTAAGAAAACAAAGGGCAGGATAAATATATTTTGTAAACACCACAGCTCAGTTAGCAATGGGGTTGGTGAGGAAAGCTCCTAACATCAAATAGCCCTGGGTATATTTTTGGTTAAACTGTGTTTCCCTGGTGAGTAACTACAAAACTGAATCAACTCTTGGATAGTTATCAAATCTCTTTCAAACAGTCCTCTGAGAAAAACTGTTGAAGCTATAAAATGGCAGGGGAAAAAAACAGCCTTCTTCAACGCAGAATTCATCTCCAAGACGTGGCAGTGTAGAAAACCTCTGTCAAGGAGTAGTTATTGTAGTTGTATTATAATAGTAGCAATTTAACCCAAACTTTGTTATCACTTTCTGCTTGATCAATAAGAAAGGGGCTATTGATATAATGAAATGTGGCTTGTATTCCCGTCATAAGGGTTCAAAGAATATAGACAGATCTAAAAGAGGTAGTAATTCAGATAATACCTCCAAATCTGGCTCAGCCAAGAAACATTTGTCTGATGTTATGTATATTGTGCAAAAGGCCATAGAGACATATAATGAGAAAGAGCTTTGGTGGTTATCTAGCACACCCTTTGATGAGAATTCCAGCAATAGTATATGGCCCTTGAATTAAGAATTTCAGACAACTATTTCCCAAGTGCTTGTCTTGCAGCATGAATAGCAATTTTTATTAGGAAGTTTCTTCGAACTGTTAAAAATAATCTTTTGTAAATCAGTAATCTTTCAGCCACAAGTCCTGTCCAGGGGAGCACCAGAAAACAAGTCTGCTCCTGCTTCTGCATGCCTGACCTTCATTTATTTGAGAAGTCTTTCTCCAAATTAAATATATCAATCTCTTTCAACCACTCTAACATAGATGTCAGCATGAAGGGGGGGGGAATCTACCTAAAGAATGGCTGCTAATGTCATATAGATCTCATTAGGTTATATTAAAATAAATAATGATGATCAACCTTGGACATATATAAAAAAAAGACCTGAAGAATATAGGGCAAAATCTGTGCATACCACTCAGTAAACAAATACGGCTGTCCTTGTTTGCAAGGAATTGTGACCTTAGCGCCTATGCTGAATTCTGGAATTAGGGAATTGTTCAGATAAAATATTTGTTATTTTCTTGCAATGTTTATTATCCTCTCCCTCTCTCTCTCTCTCTCTCTTCCCCCCATTTTTCTTGGTACTCTTAGGAATGTTATCCTGGCCCTGGTACCTATGGGAATCCATATGTCAAACTAGAAGAAAGGGAAAAAACCCCAGTGACTGACATAGGAATAATGGACAGTAAAACACCTAAACAATTCACTTTCGTCCATACGGCAAGTATATCATCTCATTTTCCACCTCACTGTTGTGTGTGGCAGTGGTTTTCACCATTGCTCCCATAGAAGCAACAGCTCAACAATTTACTTGTTGGATATGGACTGTGAACCTTTCCCCTTCTACAGCTCTCTATGGTCTGACTATGCTCTGGCAACATTTTTTTTTTTTTTGGCTACATCTCCCTGAAAGTAATCTCACCTCAGTCCATGAATGGAACAAACATAAATCCTCTGAAGCCAAAGCATGCAATGATAGCTGCAAAAAAATCCCTGCTCAGATGCTCCTCCCTACTACTGAAGCAAAATTGAATACATTTTTTCTTATTGGATTACAAATAGCTTTGTGATGTCCAATGGCAACACTTACTTGACCCATCATATTTCTTTTTGATTTACCATGGAGCAGCTATGTAATCAAGTCCTGGATCTCCAGATAGAGCACAACTACTGCTAGATAGGGATCAATATTCAGCAGCCTAAATGTGTCACACTATGCAGCTGTTTTCATGTGTGTCTGCCTGAAGCTTTTTCTCCTGTTTGACTTTAGGGAAGCGGTTTGGGACCTGGTACTTACAATATCAAAAATGGTGTGGATGAGATGTTGAAACGAGTGATCAGTATTCGAGGTCCCTATGAAACCTTCACTGGTGACAGATCAAAGCCTATGGTTTCTGGACATTTTGCTGGTGATGTATGTGTTCTCCCTTTCCTGCTTGCAAGAGTACTCCATAGTTTGGTTAGTAATACGTAGACTTCCCCAACTGAATGATCATCAGATTTCTTGGACTATAGCTTTGATTCATTATAGCCAGTGCTTTTTTTGTAAAAAAAAAAAAAAAAAAGGTGCTGGAACTCACACATGTCATACAACCCATCTTGCCTACCCTACAAGGTTCCATCCAAAAAAAAGTGCTGGAACTCTGTTCTGGGCGTTCTATGACAAAAAAGCCCTGATTATAGCCATTCATCACATTGGCTATGAATGATCAAAGCCGTAGTTAAAAGATTTGGGAAGACACCAAATTGGGGAAAGCTATAATTCGACTGAGACAACTTCAACACAGGAGTGAATTCTTTCTCCCACTCACTTTCCTTAAAAACAATCTAGGATAGGGTTGTCCAACTTTAAAGACTTGTGGACTTCAACTGTCAGAATTCCCCCGGCTAACAGGTTCTAAGACTTTTTTTTATTTATTTATTTTTTTAATTTTTATTCATTAATACAATTAAAACAACAATGGACAAACATGACATTCCAGAGTGAATTTTTCTATCAGTTCCTATCATAGTACAAAAATTTTATAATTTTATAATTTTTTGTTCTTAACCTCTATATAAACCTCATCTTTTATACAATACAATTATATATACAATTATATGTACAGTTATGTATATCTTTTAGTTCTACCATTAGTTTGAAGTCCGAGCAGTTCTTAATTCATACCAGCGGTAAAATTTGCCCCAGATTTCGAAGTATTCGTGTTCCGTTTTGTCTTTCATAATCATTGTAAGCCTGTCCATCTCAGCACATATTAAAATTTTATGCAGGATCTCTTCTTCCGTTGGGGTTTCCTTGTTCCTCCAATTTTGAGCAAAAACCAGCCTGGAGGCCGTTAAAATGTGTAGCATTAAATAAAATACGCCTTTGTCATGTTTTTGCGTAATTAAACCTAATAGAAAGAGTTCTGGTTTTGGTTCTACCGCTTGCTCTAATATTTCTTCCAACCAAATTTTAATCCTGTTCCAAAAATCACGAGCTCGCGTGCATTCCCACCACATATGATAGTAAGTTCCACTTTTCAAATTGCATTTCCAACATTTAGGGGAGACATTGGTATACATTTTAGACAATCTTGTGGGTGGGAGATGCCATCTATAAAACATTTTGTAAAGGTTCTCTTTGTAAGAGGTTCTAAGACTTTAGGAATAATAGAATTAAGACATTTTCTGGTTGGGAATTTTCTAAAAAAAAAAAGTGATGAATGCTGTAATATTATAATAGACACAAATAATAAGAGTCACGTTACATTCTGCAATCCTGTATTAGATTGGCATTCTGTGAGTCCTAGATTCAGGTCTTTCAGGAAGTTTAGACTTGGAAAACTGAATATTTCAGTGAATGTCACACTAACAGAAAGACAATGTTGAATTTAAGATCATTTTCAAAAAAAGAAAGATTAGACAACTGTACGTTTAATAATGGGTTTATTACTACTCTATTAGGGTGCTAAAACTGTGTTTTAAAAGAACCTGAACGACAGCTGACAAATGTTGTGAAGCAGCAAAAAAAAAAGAAGTCACTTGTGAAATCCTTACCACCATGCTTGCAGCCAAGCTAGACTTCTTTTTTAAAAAAACTAACTGGACATTCCTTGAGTGTTTAATTTGTTCTGGTCTCTGGTCTTTGACTGCAATAAACTTACTTGATTTGATCACAGGCTTAGCACTCTTCCAGAACAGTAGTAAATACATATTCAAGAGAAGCACAAGCAAAAGCTGAAGTCCTCATGGAGATAACCAGATCACACACATGTCTTTCAGCTGTTTGGTCCAAATCAGGTTCCGAGCTTGGGGTAGTTCTATGATAGTTATTCATTTTCCTGAGAGCTGGTGATTTAAGAAGGTGATGGTGGGGAACAGGCTTCCTGGCCTAGGAAATGACTATATCATCCTCTGACTGCAACCAAAACAGAATAAATTACTGATAAAGGAGAATATTTGTAGCTCAGAGTTGAAATGAGGGGTCCTTCGTGCTCTCTGAAGTTGGCTATTTTCTTGCAAAGTTTCATTACTTTCATCAGATGCTATACAGTTTGAGAAATGAAACATCTGTAAGAAAACAACCAAGTTGACTTCCGCTTCTGGATTGCAGTACGTTCAGCCCTACAAACAGATCTCTCTCTTTGTCGGCTGTTTTCCCTCTGCTGGTAGACCCTTATGCAGGTATTAAATTGCCCTGGAGGGGTGACTACCATCGAGGAGCTTTTGCTTGGCTGCGGCTCCCCCTACAGTCCGAGCTAACTCCGTAGGGCTGACAGAGAAGAAGATCGGCCAGTAAAATGGCCGATCACTTTGCTGCACCAGCCAAAGTCAGAAAATCATCTAAGTACCACAGTGGTGAATCCGGGTGAGACCTTTCCTCCCTCTCTCTGTCCTGACTATTTGCCTGTAAAAAGGTTTTGATCACTTTCCTGTCTTAAGTGAGCAGCTTCTGTCTACCTGGGAAAGAAAGTTTTAAAAGAACTAAAATAGTTAAAGTTTTATTGACTACTTGATTTTTTGGGGGGGATATCTAGGGGCCCTGAAAAAAATAAAAAAGAAATGCTATATTTTTTATTTTATCTATTATATTGGAGATACCTGCTTTTGCTTTTTATGTTTCCCAAAAGATAATTTTTTACCTATTTGGAAGAAAGAGTTTACAGTCTACTGAGGTCATCTTGTGGTGAAAAGTGCCATTACAGCTGTATTTTCTTTTGCTATTTGAAGATGAATTTGATCTTCAAATGACAACAAAAGGGAAAAGAGAAAAGATTTGCAACAGCTGTGGTGAATTTGCTTAGTAGAATTTTAGAGGTGGATATTTGTTGACCTTTTTGAAATATAGCCTCCACTAAAAGATCAAAGACTATTCTTGAACAAAGTCTTTTCACCATTGAAATGGAAGAAGCTTATCCACAGCTCGACTATGAACTTATATTGGAAAAGATTTTGGAAACTACAAACTATATGAAAGCTTATATCAAATCTTGGAGAAAAATAAAAGATGATACTAGAGAACCACAAATTGACTTTCAACCATCGGTTCAAACTACAGACCAAAGAATAACGGAGGAAAAACAGAGCAACCCTAGAGAGGTTCCCACACAGCAAGATACACAACTGAACGAGACAGAGGAACTGCACTTACAATTCAATTATGAACTTACAGTAGAAACTACCGAGCAAATTAATTCTACATAATCCTATTTACGACCTAAGGAGAACATTGATGATCAAAGAATAACATTAACTGAGCTATTTGATCTCCCAAAAATAACAGAGCTTGATATTCAGGTACAAGTCATTGAAAATTGTGACAATGTGGACAATCAACTAGCAACTATAATAAGAAATAAAATTGACTATACTATTCAGACAATATTGGAAAAAAGAGAAGAGAACTTTGACTATTTTGATGTATTGAGAAATAGCTTGACTCAAATGTTGAGGTTTGATGATGCTGAGGCTTTATCTTGGAAACCGGTTTGGCATAGAAAGAAAGCTAGAGTTAGGTTTAAAAATGTGGTTTAAAATTTCACTGAATGGGTTAAAAAGGTTGTTGACATTTGGATTGTTTTAATAACAAATGAAATAGGTGATTCTGTAAAAGGATATTTTTTGTAACAATACTTGGTTTTAGAGATGATAAGTATTGGAGAGGTAAATTTTACTTCACTGATTGATAGAATATATATTTAAAATAGACAGAACTGTAGTTCTTTGGACTGATATCTTTATTTTAATCAAGATAACTATTTTGTAATAGAGGGAGAAGAGGAGGTATTTGTGATAAGAGAAATAATAGTATTAATAAATGAATAATTAGTTTAAGCAATAGGCTATATTTAAAAAAATGTAAGGATGTTGCTTTTTGGGATAATATATTTATCTTAGATAGAATCATCATGATAGGGAAAAGAGAAAAGAGGGATGCCCGGAGTGTTAATATGTCTATATAAGCTTAATTGGAATATGGTAATTTGTAAAATAGTAAAGCTTAAAAACAGGATTCTTATAATTGAAATGTGATTGATGACCGATTGGATTGATTGAGCTTTTTTTATAAATGTAATAATTTTAATTGGTAAAATAATATGTGAAAAATAGAGAGGGAACTTTTAAGGAATTAATCTGTGTGATATATGTATGATTTTGTTCTTGGATAATTGATAGCCCAATCACCACGTTTTTTCTTAAGCACATTTATGTAAAAATGAAAAAAACCAATAAAATTTCTTCTAAAAAAAAGAAAAAAAGAAAACAACCAAGCTCAGAGAGCACCAAGGACTCCTCCCACTGATAAATTAGAAATGGCAATTGCAAAAACCTTTTCTGGTGGCACACAGAGGGTAGAAAAGCACATTAGCTGAGTCATGGGGAAAATCCTGCAGACAGCAGTGGAAATAGATCCACAATAGGACAGCTATTAATATTTCTCACGTTCTAGAATGAGAACAAAATACTCAGCACTGTAGATTATATGAAGCCATTAGATGGCAGAAAACTAGCAGATAGCAAAAAACAAACAAAAAAAAAACCTAGCAGTGTTTTCATCAGTGGGCTTTAGTACAAGTACATTTGTTGTCAAATGTCTTGATTTTGCACTTGTTCAGTTGGACTAATTCCAACTTAATTTAAAATAATTCTAAATATATGAAAAGCTTTGCTCATATAAATAAGTTATCTGAACACTAGGACCATGGATTCTACAAAAACTACTATTATATTTGATTAATGTATTTGATTATGTGCCATTAAGTCAAAATTGATTCTTATGACCACACAGATAAATTTTCTCCATGGAGATCGGTCCCTAATTTGGTCCTTCAGTTGCCCCCATCGCCACCATAACTGAATCCATCCACCTGTTGCTGGTCATCTTCTTTTTTCTTCATTTTTTTTCCAGCATCTCTAGAGAGTTTGGTCTTTACATAATATATCCAAAGCAGGATAATTTAAGCCTCGTTGTTTGTGACTAGTGAGAATTTTCTTAACAGGATTCAGATTACACTGAGAGTTGTATCTATATTATATTTTCCCATAGTAGATACATTCATTTGCAGTAATTTCTTTGATTTGATGCAGTTCTGTCTTAGATTAATTGTTCACAGATTTCTGTATGTATGCACACATATACTGGTGGTTCTCGACATAACTATTCTCAACTGGCTTCCAACAAGGAAAGTCAAAAGTATAAATGGATTTCACCTAATGACTGTATGATTCATTTGATGACCACAGTGATTTGTTTAACAACCATGGCAAAAAAGGTCCTAACAACCTCGTTTAGCAATGGAAATTGTGGTCCCAATTGTGGTTGTAAAACTAGGGTGATCTATATGGTACATTCTACTAATTTCCACTTCTAAAGCAGTATTTTGTTCTGATTCAATCATGGCAGAGAAGAACCTCTGAGTTGTCTGGTTGCAATATCAAATCCTTCCTGGATGAACTGGAGACAAAGGACAAAAAGAAACATGGCGTTTTTAGTACGTTTTCACGGGATCCCGATTGCCCAACTGAACGGATCTTCTGGACCAAAATTGGCATGTTTCAGCGTGAACAAGTAGGTGACTTTGCTTTGCTTTTTCAGCAATAAGCTGGCGACTGATTTTCTTCTGCCATGACATTAACAAAGCAGATAGGAACAGAATGAAATACAATTTGTTTTTGTTTTTTTAAAGAACATATTTAACTTTTTTCTTCTTTTCAAAGTATCAAAATAGTTTCTCTAAGCAAAAAACAGTAAAGGACACCCAGAATTATATTTACCTAGGCAGCTGTGCAAAGAAGAAAAATGGGGGAGGGACTGGCAAGCAAATCCTCTTCAGGATGTATTTCTATAATGAGTGTTTAATGAGGATGATGAACATATAGTAAGATCAGTCAATAACAGAAAATAATTGCCTACTTCTTTTTCCCCAGTATCAAACAGGACCAGGCTCCTATGACATAAAGCCCATTAAGAGAACAGAATATAAAAATCAACCACCGTTCTGGATTGGTGCAAAAAGATTTGACCGAAGAGCATACCGCCTCTGTTTTGGAAATACAGTAAGGGAGAAACTTGATTATAACTCCTTTTCTCATTGCAGCCATGATACTGTGTCCAGGACACCCAGTATCTATGGAGCTTCTCAATCATCCAGGTCATACAGGTAGTCCTTGACTTACAACAGCTCATTTAGTGACCGTCCAAAGTTACAACAGTACTGAAAAAAAATGACTTATGACCATTTTTTTACACTTACGGACATCTCTCCATGGTAAATCTGCTCAAAATTAAAATGTTTGGCAACTGACTCCTATTTATGACATTTGCAGTTCCCGGAATCACTTGATCCCCTTTTGTGACAAGCAAAGTCAATGGGGAAAGCCAGATTCACTTAACAACCATGTTAGTAACTTAACAACTGCGGTGGCTCACTTAACAACTGGGGCAAGAAAGGTGGTAAAATGGGGCAAAACTCACTTAACAAATGTCCTACTTAGCAACATAAATTTGTGGTCCTAAGTCAAGGACTGCCTGTAGGTGCTTTTTCCAAAAGGCAACTGGCCTTTCTTGGGTATTTTTTTGCCTTTGAAAACATTTCACTTCTCATTCAAGAAGTTTCTTCAGCTTTTTAGTTCAGAACAGAAGAAGCTTCTTGGATGAAAAACGAAACATTTTCAGAAGCAAAACAAACAAACAAACAAGGAAGTGCAGTTGCCTTCTGAAAAAGCACCTTTGGAACAAGACAGCCAGTAAGAGCCCAGTCAGCAGGGACTAGAAAGACAAGAAAGAGAGATGACTGTCACAACGGGATTTATCGTGCATTGCAAAACCGATGGGACTTGCAAGGCATGGTTGTGTCACCATCACCTTGACTTTTGAGATGCCACCCCCTCTGCAGATGCCCCTGGGAGAGAAACTGGGTTCAAAACCCCTCTTTAATAAAGCTTGTTTTGCCACTGTCTCTTGGGAGATAAAACCACATATGGATCAGTTACTTCGATGAAGGAGATCATTCCAAGGTGCTCTAATAACTCGGGGCCTGTTCGTAGTGCCATTAACTTCACTTTGCAGGTTGTATGTAAGAGATAGGGGTGGGAGGGAGAAAAAATGCCTTCCGTTTCTATCTGTCTATCTGTCTATCTACTATCTATCTATCTATCTATCTATCTATCTATCTATCTATCTATCTATCTATCTATCTATCTATCTCATATCTATCTCTTTCACTCACATACATACACACACACATCTATCATTTATCCATCCATCTGCTTCCTTTCTAAACATTTTGAAGTATAGTTTTTCTCCCCTACCAGCATGGCCCAGTGCCATCTGGGGATCATGTAATCCAAGCCAGTGGTTCTTAACCTGGGCAATATTGCCCCCCCAGGGGGCGATTTCATTTTTCAGGGGGGCGATGGAACGAAAAGGGGCGATGCGGGGGCGAAGGAATGAAAAGGGGGCAATATGGGGGCGATGGAGCGAGATGATTTGGGGAAACTTTTGAGACATTTTCGTACAGTGAATCGCTGTATATCTGTCATACAAAAACATCAGATCGCTCGCTATTAGTGGATTGAATTGTGTTTTCAAATGTTCCTCCAGCTAGCTTCAGTACAGAACGCCGTACATATGTGAATAAGCATCTTCATGTGCGTTGCGCAGCAGCCTCTACCCATACAGTGGTGCATTATTGGCCAGAATATGGGAGATATGGGGAAAAGACTGGAAATAAATTATTTGCATCGATATGTCCTGATGACAATTTAAAAAAAAACAAAAAAAGTGTTTGCATAAATTGAAGAATTATTTCCTATGTTGTGATTGAGAGGTTATGTTGGGGGAGGGGAGCGATGATAACTTCCTCATTGGCTCAAGGGGGAGATTCGTTCAAAAAGGTTAAGAACCACTGATCCAAGCCATCTAGAGGCTGCAGGAGGAATGTTGTCTCTTCCCCAGAAGGTCACATTCTTTCAAGCAAAATCTGCAGGTCATTTCAGGCCAACAGTAAATGGTATTGAATCATTCTTTATTTGCTTATACACAAACACACACACAATTATTGCAATGTATTTATTTATTCAACTGGTCTACGGCAACGGCAACATGAGTAGATAATGACTAAATTGCTTTTCTCCTAGTATATATGATTTTTTATTTATTTCTCTCAACCCCTTTGTAATATTTAACCTAAATCAGAGATAGGCAACTTTATAGCTTTCAGAATAATTTTAATTTTAGTTGCGTTAATGTTGTGCTATTGGCCATACTGAAATTGTTATTGGCTGAGGTTCATGGGAACTGAAGTCCAAAGAATTAGTCTCCAGTAGTTCAACTGCTCCTTCCTCTATATTGGATTTAAGACAATTTCTTAGCAGCCTCAGAGTGTGATATTTGCTTTGTCCATCAATTCAACGTTTTTAAAATTCTGGTGTGCCAAAGGGTGATGCTAGTGATATATTTGCTTATGCCTTTTCTTTTGTTATCTGAGTTACTATGGTGATGTTAGAAGCACTCAAGTAGCTAGGAAAAGCTTCATTTAGAAAAAGTCTCATTTCCCCACTGATCTGGGCTCGTCCGCAGTTTAGGCTCAAGTACTGGCAAAACAGAATTCTAGTTTCCATATGAGAATCCAGGACAAGGCTTAAGAAAGTTGCTGCCTGCCTACACAAAGATTCAGGCTAGATGGGCTAAGCAGCTGCAACAGGCTTCCTCTGATTTAGTGCGTTGTCTGCGTATATGGTGTGCTACAGGAAATAATGTAATTTGTGCCACGATTTCTCCTCAGAGGGATAGCTAAATAGCAAAGATTACTCTGGCAATAATACAAGTACAAGCTGAGTTCTATCACTTGAGTTGTGATAGGAAAAAGTTAAAGAACTGCTGCATTCAGGGTAAACAGCGTTGAGGCAGATTATCCAGATTATTCGATCAGATAAAATGTCTGATGTCTCTTCCAAAATTCTTTCCACAAAAACCAATTAGCTTCTATTATATGAATTAGAACAAATGGGCAGTTATCTTATATCCTTCAAGGATATGGATCTAAGATGTAGAATTTTTTGTTAACTTTAAGGGATTGGTCAAAGTTAAGATTTATATTGATATCAAGAGCATTTGAGACTCAGCATGTATTTATGTAGTTATTGAATTAATGCTTCCCCCCTTCCATTTGTGTAATCAGTTCATTGGAATGCTTAGAAGTTCCACCAAATTCAGTTTTAGTAATTTTATCTATAAATACAGTATATTGTCAAGGTAATAGAATGCATAAATGGAATAACTGAGGGTATATTATCATACTACAGACAGCAGTTGGAGAGTTGCATCAGTTTCAACACAGACCATCCAATTAAACATTCAGTACAAATTGCACTCCCAACATGGCATGGCTGTAGACATAGCAAGAATTAATGATACATGGTTGTGAATGACTTCTGCAGTACCTCTGCAATAGATGAAAGGCAATTTGTACTGAAGGACACAAAATGCTTCATCCTAAGCAATTTTTTATTCTGGTGGAGCTCAGCTGCTCAGGACCTCATAGAGTAAGGGAGTACTTACAACTCTGTGAAAATCATGGTGCGGTAAGAAGGATACAATTTTTTTATTGTTTCAAATTTTGTCTTGTTGTTTCCTCAGCTTTCTTTTATGCTGTTGAGTGCTGTCTTAGCCACTTCCCTCCTTTTGTGGTCCTTCCAAGATAATCTTCCAAGTAGCTTAATTCCATAGCTAGCCCCTCCTAGGATTCTTCCTCCTCCTTCTTCAACTTTACAGAGAAGTCTATGTGGATTTTTTGACATCAATATAGGAGCAATTTGCCATGGACTTACTTTGAAGTGGGCAACCAGGAAGATTTAAGCACTCACTATATCCCCAATGCTCTGTTATACAGAATCCTGTCGGGGTTGGCCGCTATGATACCACAAAGCATGAGAAATATCCAAAGAAGTTGAGATACCGTTCCCTTTATATGAATGAAGCACAACGTTATCTTAGTAACTTGGAAAAGGACAAGTGTTTACAGTAAGTAAAAAAGTGAAACATAATTAAGAATGGCAAATCATTTTTTTTTAAATCCCCCAACTTCCATCAGGGTTGGAATTTTGATTTTTAATTTGCATGCCTGACCTTGTTTATCTAGTTGTTCTGTATGTAGTTTAATTTCACATTTACTTTCTAAAATGAAATTCATATATTTATTTGGAATATTTAGCCTGATTCCCATTGGTACATAGGGTCTCACAACATCTTGCCCTGCAGATGGAATTGGATTCATGAAACAGAAAACAACAGGGTTTAACAGGACAATGTTTAGAGTGAAGATGTTGTTATATTTTTAATTTATTACAATTACCCTCTCTATTTTGCTTTGCTTCTAAATTCGCTCAATTCAGTTTCTAAAATTCATGCCATAATTGGAAATTTCAGTGTTCCAATTTTTGGCATCTTTGAATTTCTCTCCCTCTCCTCACAATCAATATAGTTCTGTAAAGAAAAGAGCACAACATCTTAATATGATCTTTTATGTTAATTGTGATTATATAAATACTATCTTTTGAAGTTTTATTCATAAACTTTATTCTGCATATTCGCAAAACTAGCATGTGTACACATACACAAGCAGAAAACAGTCTTGTCATCATTGTACATTTACGTATTTAAGTGCTGGCAGAGTTGTGTAGAAGACAGAGATAAAATGGCAGCAAACTGCATGCATCTTGCTGTGTTCTCTATTTTTAAATGAATTAATCAGTAAATTGCTAATGTATTGTGTCTGTTTGTGAAATTTAAGAATGCAAGAGAGAAGTTTAGCTGAGAATTGAGAAACAGCATATCCAGAATTATTACCTGTAGACCTAGATCCTATGAAGATAATATAAAAATAGCTTCAAGATAGGAAACTCTTAGCCATTCCTTAGACAATCACCCATCCAATGATAAAATGATAAAATTGAATGTTGACATCTACACTGACTTGGAAGATCATTAAAGATAGATCTAACCTAGAACTAAGGAGAAATTTTTTGACAGTGGGAACAATTAATCGGTGGAATGGCTTGTCTCTGGAAGGTATGAGTGCTCCATCACAGGAGGGTTTCAAGATGAGACTGGACAGCCATTTGCCCAGAATGGTATAGACTTGAGCAGGAGGGTGGAATAGAAGACCTCCAAGGACCCTTCTAACTCTATTACTATTATTAAGAACAATGTATGAGTTTTTAAGTATTCCTACATCATAAAAATTTAAAACTTAGATATGAAAAACTAAGACCCAAAAGAATGGTTGTGACAGTTCTCTTTCTACTGTTGCCTTGCATCCAAAGTTTCTTCTTTTTGTGATAAGTCTAGCCATCCTATATATTGAGCGAATTCAAAGCTCTGTTCACCTGTAAATCCCTTCAGTAGCTTAAGAGAGGTCATTAAGTTTGTTGGGATGCTTACCTTCAGCTCTAAGTTCTTCAGAGGAAGAGAAAAGCATAGTTTTCCAGTTGTTCCTTAATTGGAGCTTCCAACAGTCTTTAATCACTGTGTCCAATTGTTAGGGATGCTAATTCAGTGATATCTGGATCAACATACAGTCTCAACCTTGGCTTTGATAAAGGATCGAATATGTAAACAATTTATTGGATTTTTTTTTCCACAGGGAGAGGATCACTCCTGTTAATAAAGGTCGCTGGAGCAACCCAAAATCAGCCTAAGAAATTGTTGCATCTGGAAAAAAAATCTTAAGTTATCATGTATGAACTGCATGCCTACATAGCTTTAGTTTGGCCAGGCTAACTAAAGATGCACCGAGGAATCTCTTATTCTCATCCAATACACTCTTGGAAATTTGGGCACTCACTTTCACCTTTTTTTAAAAAAAAAAAAAGAATCAAGGCATTTGTTAGAATTTTATAATTATAGGTTTCTCTTCTAAAATCAGTTTGCTGCCATAATTATGTCAATACTGTATTAAAATTGCTAGAAACTTAAATGCTTGCTATTCATTTAGCAACTACTTGTAAAATGTTGTCCTTTATTGAATTAAAAGGGGGGGCTATTATTTCCCTGATCCTAATAACCACAGTCCACAGTTATCAGTTTTTTTTTAAATTGGATTCTGGTAGAAGAGAGTTTGTAATGCAGTAAGGAAACAACTGCAGTCCAATGTTTTGATTTTTAACAATGGGGTCTCATTAGAATCTGTAGCTTTCACAAATTAAAATGGATTTATGGAGGAAAAGAAGATCAACTAAAGGGCTGCATCCAGTGGAGTTTTTCACTCCCATATTACTGCTTTTCCATTTAAAAATAATGCACATATTAATGTTGTATGCAGTATGTCTACCCCAGTGGGTAAATCATGGCAAGGTGTACCGTATTTTGACTTTATCAGTTCATATCCATTGAACAGTGATCATGAAGAGCACTTAAACCATATTTACATAAAAAGAAGCTAATTTCCTCCACCTCCAATTTTACATTTAAAATGGGTAAGGCAGGCAATCTTAGTTCCTTTGACACACAAGGACTGGTCCAGTCCGAGATCAGATTTGCTCCTACATCTACGAACGCTAAGTGTAAGGAAGTGAGCTTGACTCCTAGCTGAAGAGCAGCAGTTTTGCCATGGGTGGGAGATAGGCAGGGCAAATCCGGTGGTGTATCAGTAATTCAGTGATGTGTATACTGATAAAAGCCCTCTATGGATGTTCACAACTGGAGTTTGAGCAGAAGAGTAAGTGACGAGTGCCACCTCGACTAAAGTTCTCTCCCAGAGCCTCAAGGAATAATTGGCCAAAACAACAACAACCCAGTTACCTTTATGGAATTTAGCTCTCGTTTTTGCCTGGAATGATCCTCATTTCAGAAAAAAGACAAAGGAGGATAAACATGAATTGAAGATTCAAGGACTTCATCTGATCTCTGCAATGACTGGTGTGAACCTATGCCAATGCTATAAACTCAAATACACACATCAGAAACAAATCAAAACCTCTCCTGACAGAGGATGTCTTGGCTGAAGATGGACGGCAAGAATAGGATTATATTTTGGCTGATCCAGGAGCAGAAACATGCTTGTGTTCTAATAGTGATAGCTGCAAGCTGTTCTCCCACTCATAACCTCTAGAGTCCAGGGGTAGGCAATCTTGCCTCTTTTATGACTTGTGGCCTTCAACTCCCAGAATTCCTGAGCCAGCCATGCTGGCTCAGGAATTCTGGGAATTGAAGGCCACGAGTCATAGAGCAAAGATTGCCTACCCCAGCATCTCTAGACTATGGGTATCAAACTGCCAGCCTGTGGGCTGGTTGCATCATGTGGAGGCCGTGCCCACCCCAGCTCTGAAAATGCAAAAAAAGTTGCAATACGTTGCAACACGTCACATGACGTGGCAAGTTTGACACCCGTGCTCTAGACCAGGGGTGTCAAAATGCCGGCCCGCAGTCCGGTTGCATCATGTGGAGGCCGCAGCCACCCTAGTTCCAGCAATGCGAAAAGTCACGATATGTCACAACATGTCATTTGACACGATGGGTTTGACGCCTGTGCTCTAGACAGTTTCAGGTTGTTTTTACTGCTGCTGTACCTTTGCTTTATTCTATTGCACACACACCCTCCTCAAATAGTTATGGTGAAAATAGCCAAATAGTCATGGTGAAAGTGGACTGGGTTTTTCATGATCACAGGGGCGATAACTATAGAGTGGTTTATATTAGGAGAGTTTATATTAGCATAGACAATTATACTAGAAACATTTAATCTCCAATAAACATTTGTACTTCTTTGAATGTACCCCTCCTTTGTTCTCATGCTTCTCTCTGGAGCTTGCTAGCTGCAGAATTCTGGGAGCTGACGTCCACATGTCTTAAAGTTGCTAAGATTGAACAACACAGCTCTGGAACTTAATACTGAATGATATCAGTGATACTTTGTTATTTAACACAGAGACTTAAAGGATTAAATAATACAGATAGTCCTTTACAACAGCTCGTTTAATAAGCATAGTTATAACAGCACTGAATAAGGTGACTTATGACTGTTGCAGCATCCCCATGGTCATGTGATCTAAATTCAAACGCTTGACAACTGATTCATATTTATCAGAGTCACCTTTTCTGACCTTCTCAGAAGCAAAGTCGATGGGGAAGCCAGATTCACTTAACAACTGTGATAATAACTTAGCAACTATAGTGATTCACTTAACAACTGTGGCAAGGTTATAAAATGGCTCAAAGTTCATTTAACAACTGTCTCACTTAGGAACATTCCTACTCTCAATGTATTTTAAATCTTTTTTTTTTTTTTTTTTTGAGAATCCAAACTTGAAAATAATGGAGTAAAATGGTGACAGCCAGAGAAAGTCCACTAATTAGGATTTCTACCAGCACAAATGATGAGTGATGGCATCCTAATCTTACATATTTTTGTCTAGGATTGTACCTTAAATCAACAGATTTTTACCAAGGATAAGATATCAACTGTTTTTAATTTAAATATTAACTAGCAGCAAGGACAGCAGATCTATGACATACCTATGAATCCCATTGCACCAAATGACTTATAATAGCGGTATTAGATATATAATAAAGAAAAAATACTGTCAGCACAATTTTGTTCAGGCACACCAAAGCTGTAATTATAAGGAAGAACGCGTTCAGCCCAAGTGCAGCAATACAACATCACTAATAATTGCAAAACAAAGTATACTGATGCTGTTACTATATTTATCTGCAAGATTGGAATAGTGTGCTAGGACTGTTGCAACAAAAATCAAACTTGCAAATACAGTGGTACCTTGGTACTCAACTGCTTTCAAATTTGATACTCAATGTTTTGATGTGAAAAATTTTTCCCAGTTCTCATCATTTGATACTCAACACATGCTAGAACTTGTCAGTGTCGGCTGCCTTGTGACTCACATTATTCTTTATGACTAAAATTTGTTTGATGCTCAGCGTTTTTGGCACTCATCACACTTCCTAGAACCAATTAACGATGAATATCGAGGTACCACTGTACTCATCTTACTGTATATAACCTGAGGCGCAGTCCAGAAATTATACACAAATATTGAGTCCAGTTTAATTTCTGATTTGCTTCCGCATTCAACTTATGTCTGATGCTCTGGTGTCGTTATTACTGGTTCCAGCATACGGGAATGGTTCTCAGATGCCTGAGAAGGCACTAGGAAAGTATAAGCAAGTTTTTCTCTCAAGGAATGCTTAGATTTCAACAGGGATACAAGCTATTTCTGGACTAATCTAAAACAGGCACCTCCAAATCTGGCAATTTTAAGACTTGTGGACTTCAACTCCCAGATTCATCAGCATAGCTATGTTGATGAATCTGGGAGTTGAAGTCCATATGTCTTAAAAGTTGCCAGGTTTGGAGACCTCTGGTCTAAAATATGCTTTTACTGGTTCACTCTAAATCAATCTCTCCATTAAATATCAACAACTGTTTAAGACTCCATAGACAGTTCAGATGTTCAGATACTATAGATAACATCAAAGTGTTAACTACAAATAATTATTTGCTAGAATTGTGCATCTTGGTCCTTAGATCCAATTTTGGTTAATAGTGACATTAAAAGATATACAAAACTCAAATAAAAACCCTTTAAAGTTGTTTAATCATCAACTGTTCTTAGGGCTAGCCAATGACCTATTTGCTTTAATATTAAACTATAGGAATACATTCACGCAGGAGATACTTTTCCAGCTTATCCATTGTCACTCCAGTTAAAAAGTAGAGGAATGATATGCAAAAACGTTTTGAGTGTAAACTATCTCAAGTACAAAATAAGAGTTGGAAGTATTCCAAAGTCCAGACCACAACATGGGACAAAACTCAGAATTCTATTATCTATTCCAAGCAGCATTGTTTCAAGTGTTTCGATTATCAATAATATCCAGATAATTATAAAAATTGATATAGCAGTAGTGTGCATTTATCTGATGGTGAAAGCTCGCAGCAGTGCTATTTTTACAAGCAATGTTAAGTGTTAGGTGGGAAGAGGTTAAAGAGATCCACCTTCCAGGCAGTTTTCTAAAGCATTTCTCACATCTAATGTATTCCTGAAAATAAGAAGGCCTAAAACAATCCAGGTTTTTCTCAGGTGATTTAAGGCACTAAACAATCTCAGTAGAAGAAAACCATGACAAATCCTATGATAACAGTAACAAAGGAAAGAGGAGAGGGGTGGAATACTTCTTCTATATAATGTTACTAATAATTAATCATCTACCATATAAATCTCCACCATCATTTACAGGTAGTCCTCGACTTTCAATAATTCCTTTAATTGAAAGTTACAAAGGCAATGAAAAAAAGTGACTGTTTTTCACACTTACAACTGTTGCAGCATCCTCATGGTCATGTGATCGAACATTGGATGCTTGGCAACTAGTTCATATTTATAATGGTTGCCATGTCCCGGGGTCATGTGATCACTTTTTGCGATCTTCTGAGAAGCAAAGTCACTTTACAACCATGTTACTAATTTAACAACTGCAGTGATTCACAATAGTAGCAAGAAAGATTGTAAAATGGGGAAAAACCACTTAACAACTGTCTCACTTAGCAACAAAAATTTGGGGCTCAATTGAATTTCATGAACAAAATAAGAGTAAAATAGGTAGACGCAATAATGAATATAAAAACTTTGCTATTTATATCAGATTACTGACAGCCCTCTTTACTATTAAAACAGAAGTACTAACTTGTACTTTGGAGAAATGCGTTATAAAACTGTTCAGCCAGCGTCCATAATCCAAGAGACAGATCACTAGAAGACCACAGGGAGAAGGCAAGAAAAGCAGTAACATTTATAAACAAGGGGGAAAAATACTTTTTAAATTGTCTTATTCCTGGGGACATGTCTGTAACAATCTCTTTTTTTTCCTGCAGCACATAAATGTTGATGAAAACTGTCAAAGAAAAAATGTCAACAAAACAAGAAAGACAGAGAGAGGGAATTATGACTTTTCAACCCTGGGCAAAGAAACCTATCTGATATAGGCAACTGTGACATTAGAAAGGCAGTCTTATTTGGCACAACTCTCAGAAAGAGCCTATGGTATATCTGTAACAGCAGACCTTGCATACATCTCCCATTCATTTATCTATAATAGGTTATTCTTCTGTTTTAAAGTTCTGAACTTGCTCTTCCTCCTTCTACTAAATATATCAGTCTATACCTAAGCTATCATTAAACCACAGTGGTCAAAAATGGAAATTCCTAGAAAGAAGATAAAGAAGCATACACCTTTTTAAGACAAATACTACCAGTTATATATTTCATACAAAGGCAGAAGTATTTCTTCTACATTTCACATTTGGAATGGAGTCTCTGAAGTAGAAACAAGGGGGTTTTGGAAAAGAGAAGAGGTAAGTTTTTATTTAGACCCAAATTTTCCTAGTTGCTTCATGGACGAGTTGGATTTAATGTCTTGCAGCTTTGCAGACTTTATCATATACTTCAGGAAAAGCCTTGTTACACTGAAGCTCTTGTCTCAGTTTGTGATAGAGGGAGCCATCAAACATTTCCCAGAATTCCTCGCGGGTCATATAGCAGTCTGCATATAACATCTGAAAACTAAAGGAAATGAGAAAGATCTTAAGAGTTGTGGCTGCTTAACAGGTGACTGTTAAGATATTTAATTTAACAGCTGGAACAGTAAAGAGTATAATGTGCCAGAACACAAAGCTGGAGTTGATGGGTTGGAGATTGCGGGCTCCTGCATGAGGCAATCTACATTATAATTGGTTGCTGGGTGTAAAGGGAAACTTCCCCACCTTTTGCTTCTCTGGGCTCTGTATGCTGCTGTTCTTTGATTTACCTGACAGTTTGCCTCACGATATAGTGATGTGCCTGACTATCTTGTCTGCTCTAAATATAGATGTTAAATATTTATTATATAAAACTACAAGTTTGTGTCAGCATCTCTGACTTCATTTGGACCTGCTGTGCACAGATTGCATGTAACATCTGAAAACTAAAGGAAACGAGAAACATCTTAGAGTTGTTCCATTAAAAGGTGACAATCATCTTTGCCTGCAAAACAGGGCAAGCCTCTTGTCAGAATTGATTTTGTTCTAGCAAACTAACCAACCCTTTCAATTCAGTTGGGTGTCCCAACAAGGGTGCTGCAGAGCCAAAAATTGAACTACTGTACAGAATAGCAAAAGAATGGGGTGTACTCATAGGTAATTAGGAATCCAATTGCTAGAGAGCTCTTGTACCACTAGAAATAACTCTTTTCCCGGGTTTAAATGCTTACCCATGAACGTTCCTTACAAACTTTTCTAATTGTCTGGTGGATGCCATGGCTTCAAAGTGTTTTGTCTGGGGCATTCCATAGGCTCCCACATCTACATAGAGCTCCTCTTCATCTCCTTTTGGATGAACCATTCCAGGACTGTGAGGCAAGATGAATGGACACAGCCACAGAGGATAAACCTAGAGAAAAGAAGAGGAAAAAGATGCACTAGGAGCCGTGGTTAGCCTGCAGAATTGCAGATAACTCTGCCCACTTTCAGGAGTTTGATCATCACCGGCTCAAGGTTGAAGCCTTCCATCTTTCTAAGTTTGGTAAAATGAGGAGCAGATTATTGGGGGCAATATGCTGACTCAGTAAACTGCTTAGAGAGGGCTGTAAAGCACAATGAAGAGGTATATGAATCTAAGTCAGTGGTTCTCAACCAGTGGGTCAGGACCCCGTTTGGGGTCGAACGACCATTTCACGGGGGTCGCCAAACAACGCAGTCCACCATTTTTTCCCCTTTTCCTTAGCTGTGCTACTCCCTTTTATTCTATTGGCTTTTGAAAGCCAATAGAATAGACTCTCTTGAATAGAGTCTAATTCTATTGGCTTTCAAAAGCCAATAGGAATTGTCCAGGCTGTCTCTGCCCTGCTGAGCCCACCAAAAGTCCCATTCTGCAAACGGTGCTGCACCAGTTGAGTAGTCCTCGACTTACGACCGGTTGAGTAGTCCTCGACTTAACGGCCGGTTGGGGGTCGCGGCATTAAAAAGGTTGAGAACCACTGATCTAAGTACTATTGCTACAGTATTCTATTAGTTTTATGGAAGCTGCTTGGGTCCTTTCTGAATCCTGTCATTGTTACATGGGGTTACCTTAAGCATTACTTATTTATTTGTTTTACATTTCTGGGTTTTAGAGAAATGTTCTTCAGGTATTAAATAAGAAACCAATCTTTTTCCTGCTCCAATGACCCGTCTTGGATTTAGGAAAGATGGTCTTACTTTAATGACACTGTGGAAGGTTTGAATACATTGTTCAAGGCTCTTCATGGGGATCATCATGTCTTGTATCGCGTGGTGCTGCTCATAGAGCTTTCTCATGGATTCGCCTTGAGTCAGTTTTAAAAGGGAGATTTTAGGAGGAACCATCCAGCCAAAGAGATAGCGAAAAATTGGATGATTGCCAAATGGGATGATGTCCTGTAAGGGAAACAATGCTAACAGTAAGAAAAGGGAAGATTTAAAATTAGTATAATTACATACATCAACAACTTTGTTCAGTATTTTTTAAAAATTCACTATTGACTAAATGTGGGTTGAAGGCCTAGCGCTCTCCTTAGGAACTGAGCAGAATGAGATGTGAAGTCCCTTGTTAATTCACCTTTTGTTCTATCTGGAAAACCATCTCTTTTTTTCCCCTGCTTGTGCTCGTTGTTTCATGCCTCTGGTTTTATTTCTATATGCTACTCTGCTAATGCTGGTGAGTAATCTTAAAAATGTGAATTATCGATTTATATATTTGTCAAGACATACTAGATTGGAATATTAAGATTTAAGGAAAAGCTTTAATGGCTAATTGGATGGTATAAGGACCAATCCTTTAAAGCAGTGTTTCTCAACCTTGACAATTTTAAGGCATGTGGACTTCAACTCCCAGAATTCCACAGCCAGCATTGCTGGCTGTGGAATTCTGGGAGTTGAAGTCCACATGCCTTAAAATTGTCAAGGTTGAGAAACACTGCTTTAAAAGGATACTAACATTTGTTTTAAAAATCTTCCGGAACTGATACCCAAGATTCTTGATTAACAGTAGGTCTAGAAATCAGGGGTAGGCAACCTTGGCTCTTTTATGACTCGTGGACGTCAACTCCCAGAATTCCTGAGCCAGCATGGCTAGGTCAGGAATTCCGGGAGTTGAAGTCTATGAATCATAAAAAAGCCAAGGTTGCCTACCCTTAGTCTAGATGAAATGAGAATGCTAAGAAAAGATAATAGGCCTTATCCACAAAAGGACTATTAAATCCACTATCACAGATACTAATTCTTCCTCTTTGTCCTTGTGGCTGTGAACTATTTACTGGCTTGAATGACCAAACAACTTAGCTAACTAACATGTTACACATGGCACCTAATTTAGGTTTGCCTTTTGTCTTGGAAGAGGAAAAAGAGAGGTATTAGGCATTAAAGATATTCAAAGCTTCAAATGGGCATTTTGCTTCAAACAAAGCACTTGAGAAAAACTATTTTGCAAAGCAGCTTGGTCCCCTCACTTGGGTCAGAGTAAAGTGAAATGACAATGCTGCTTCACCTAGACTTTTCCAGTGCTTTTATTTTTACTGTTTTTATATATATTGTACAGTATGTTTTTGTTTCTTAAGTTTTGTCAGCTACCCGGAGTTAGTTGATTAAGATGGGTGGCCATATAAAGAGTGAATTAACAATTAAAACAGGACCTATCCATAGGATAGGCTGACAGAAAAACTGGTCTTAAGTATCCACAGTATAATAAATTACAAGCAGATCCTTACCTGGAGCTCCCAGAAAATGCTCCTTGTATGCCTATGATAATAATCTCTTGCTGGAATATATTCTGTTCCTGTGCTATTAGCTTTCAAATAATTTTCCACATGCTTAAAAAACCATGGCTTGTAGTACGCCCCAATTCTATTGACCTTAATGTAAAGAACAGGAAGATAATAAAAAATATAATTTCGCTGAATTTATAGTTTAATTAAAGATCTGATTTAAACATGAGGCAACTTTCTACTACTATTGAAATGAAGCACCAAAAATACAATGCATTTTGTGTAGGAATAATATTGGCAATATATCATTTCCACAAATGATTATTATTGTGGATGCCAATACATTTACATTAAATGTACCTCACCCAAAAGAATGCAGACACCAGACACCCTTCTATTCATTATAAGCAACCTTGGTTGAGCCTTTCCTCCCATATTGTAATTCAACTGTCTTTAGCAGGAATCATAATTTTAATTTGCAGAGAACTAAGAATGTTTTAATTTGTTTAGCTTAGATTTTTCCAACTTTTCTGACAGGCACTTCTATTGTCTCCCTGTCAGCATAGAAGCTGACTTGCTGGAGAAATTAGATCTACTTATTTCACAGACAGTTTAAGAGCAATAGAGCAATGCCCCAGTCCTAAAGGATCTTTGGAATTATTATTCTGCATGGAACAATAGAAAACAATTTTAGTACAATGTTTTTCAAACTTGGAAACTTCAAGATGTGTGGACTGCCTAACTATCCACAGCGGTTGGGGAATTCTGGGAACTGAAGTCCACACATCTTAAAGTTGCTGAATTTGAGAAACATTGCTCTTGGGGGAGAATCTTTATAATACAGAAATATGCACTGACAGTATAAGTGGACTCTCTAGTTTTTAGAAGAAACAACTTGCTTTTTCAACGTATGAAAGACAATTTTGTCATTCTGTCTCCCGTGCCCCCTTTTACTTAACAAGGATAATAAAGTTAGGTTACCTTTTCTTGCTCAGCTTCATCGGTCAAAACTCCAGTCATTATGACAGCCTCTTCCAAAGAATACACAATGCCCTCTACAAAATGATTCTCTTTCTTTTCTGATTCTTCAGCAAATCTCTTGCAGATGTTTTTCAGCCCTCTCACAGGTTCGTAATGTAATTTCAGATAGTTTTTAGATGGGATCATTTTTATTTCTGCTGCAACCAGAAAGCCTAATGTGCCACAAGACCAAGGCACTGCATAAAATAGATCAGAGTTCTCCTCCTGCAAAAAGCACACCATGCTAAGCAGCCACTCAAAATAGAATTGACATAACTTCTTAAATCATGGCAAAGAAATATAATTTCGTACCGGGCTACATCTCACATGGCTGCCATCAGCAAGAACAAGCTCATAGGCCACACAGATATGCTGAAATAATCCATAGATATGAGAGGAAGATTCAATGCCAGTCCCCATGAGCAAACCACCTATGCAAGAGACCATGATCAAGAATGAGCTGAAACACATGCTAAACTTTACAGAACAGTACTTCAGAACAAGAGAATCTACAGCAATCAAAACAAAGAAAATCATACTGGCCTGGAACTTCTTATGTTTAACATTCTCATATGTGAAATTATGGTCGAGTAGTTTAATAAAAGGAGTAGTCATGAGTTCCATGTTCCAAGATTTCTCACCTACTGTAAGATCATCAAGTTCTGGTACCACTGGAATAGTCCAGCCCATGCGATTCAGGTGTGCTGTTAATTGTCCCATTGAGACCAAAGGTTCCACCCGGACAACCTACAACAGAACACATTTTATGGCTTAGATAACATTCCATCAGTCTGCATAACAGGTCCTTCATTTGCACAACAACCTATACATTAATAGGATCTGAACTGGAAGTGATTGATCAGGAATAGGATCCTGACATCATAGTGGTCAGCTTGAAGAAAAATGTCAAACCAGTATATATGTTATGTAAAAAAGGCAGATGTCATTCTTGGAATCTTTAGGAAGGATATAGAAATAAAACCATTGACTATAGCGGCGCTCTTATGAAAATTAGGATTGTACCTCACTTAATAGGATCATGTACAGTTTCGTCATTGCATCTTAAGAAGGATTATTATAAAGCTAGAAAACAGAGATCACCAGGAAGTCCAGAGCAGGAAGTAATTGCAGTGCTGAAAAAAAACATCCTGGAAGAAAGCGGTGACAATCCCACAATAACCATATGGACTAGTTGTTGAGCTCAACTTAAAAGCAATTTCATCTGGAAAAATCTCAAAGGTACCTGTCGCTCAATGTCTACGTCTAAAATATCCATCAAGTTGATTGTGATGTTCTTGAGAGTCTTCTTGTACTTCCCAATACGAAGAGACATTGTAAGCCAGCCAGGACGGCCTGTGCACATATATGTTTTTTGGCCTTCTGTTTTCCATTCTCGAACCTACGAGAAAAGAAGATAGAATCACTTCCTTGTACAGGGCCAACTTGAGGCTAAGACCAAGTAGATATTAGCCTTGGGCACCAAGTTTACAGAGTGCCAAAGCTGTCCATCCTTCCAAATCATTCTAAAAAGGCAAATCTTTGCACTGTTTGGGGGTGGCACTATCAGTCAATGTGACCTACAGCCATATAACATTAAAGTGACACTGACTTTACGTATTATTAACAAAATTACTCCCAATTTTATTTGTTAGCAAATAGCTTGCAAATAAGAAACTTAGTTCTGAGTGCATCCTTACAGCATATAAAGTTTTCAGGAGAAACATATTAGGTGAATGCCAACTAAACATGCACAGTTTATTAGCTAAACAGGATTGCATTGTTTATTAGTTAAAAATCAAGATCAGAATAAGAGCTAAGGGAGTCCAAAGCACTAGAATCTTATGTCATAAATTTGTTCCACATTAACTTTCAATATTGTCAAATTATCATACATTATCAAACATTTTAAATAACAGTGACTCTTATTCTTAAACTGAATAATAAATAAATTGTTATTAGAAATAACAGCAGATTTGCATAGATGGGCTTCACTCATATTGAGTATCTGAGGAAAAAAAAATAAGAATTGAAAATCAATGTTTTGTTTTTGTTTTGGGTAAATATTCCTAAGGTTAAAGTTAAAGCTTTAACATATCATAAGCTATAATTTCCTTCTTTAGTTAATGAACTATCAACAGGCTCTCTAATAGATGCCTGACACCAAAAATGTAATTGCAATATCTTGCTCACAACTTTGCTTTTTTTTTTAACTTGCCGTGCAGATGCCCCCTGAAACTAACTATCATAACTCTTTAGGAATGAACATAGTCAATAATCCTTGTAAGATGGACAGTGTCAAAATACGACTACCTTGGAAAGTACAGACTCTACTTCTCAGGTGGTCCAAAGAAGGAACAGCAAGAGAAAGCACCATGCCATCTTCAGTCGCTACATGAGTCTCCCAAACCCATTTCCCAGCAAAACAGGACAGTAAGATAGCAGTGTGGAGTTCCAGCTCATTTGTAGCATCCTCCCCCTACCTGCCTTTTTCCAGTTGACCTTTATGTCATGCAATGGAGAGCTTAAAAAAAAAAAAAAAAGTGGAGCACTGGATGTTCCTATCATGCTCCACTTGGCCACTGCTGACTTCTTGTCTTCACCATCACTTTTACACACTTTGCTTAGCTTTCCACAAAAAATGTGTTTGTAAGAACAGAAATCCCACAGACTCTTCCAAAGGCAACACAGCTGTTTCATGTACTGCACTTTAACTCAACCCCTAATGGATGGCATGTCTCACTTCTGACGTCTTCTGTGACTACTCTCTCATACTATTTCAGGGTAAGTCACATATTTTGTGGCTCATTGCCACAATCCCCCCCCCCCCGGCATACTTATGTTACAAGGCAAATCATAAGGGTATTTTTCATGTTATATGCAGAACCTAGCATACAGCACTGATTTATAGGGCCCACAATAAAATGAAATCAGCACATTATTCAAGATGAATTAGCAGAATAAGTTGGCAGAGTTCTTCGTCCGCCCATCAAATTTAAAGACTTCAGAATGGATGCAGATCCAAGGAACAGAGATACTGCTCACCCACATATGAACTTTCTTTTATTATTGTTCTGGCCCATATAGCTCTATGGCCCATATAGCTCTATGGTCCAGCTCTATGTTGGAATGTCTGGCAGTTATTGGGTTAAATGCTAGGTATGTGGATGGGTCAGTGGGAGGAGTTCCAAAGGTCTTGGGAGACTTCCTGGACACAAGCCACATGGGAATCTCTTTGTCTGTAAGAAGCATGGGCCATAGAAGGTCTCTCCATAAACATAAAGATGGTGTGAAGAGCAATAACATTTTCTTACCTAAGGAAAGGATCTGAAAGATGAACAAACATGTATTTCCAGCAACACCAATCTCAACGTGAACGCAAGTAATCTTTCTCATTAAAATATATTTGTTTATTATAAGATCGTTTCTTTTGAGTTAACTATCTGACTGGATTTGAAATATAACGCTTCAAATTTGGGTCAGAATAGTAAGAAAATGTTTTCATAATTTGTGCCATCTTTTGAAAGCAAATAGTAAATTGGCAAAGATTAATTCTCCTCTCAAAGCTGCAACAGTTTGAAGAAAGAGAATCAAATTGGTTAGCCCTTTCTCTGCATAAACCTTCAAGGAAGTAAAGATTCTCTTGATGCTTGTAAAAGCCTGCAAAGCAAAGCCAGCGTGTCTGTGTAAAAGACAGCTTTCAAGGAGTGATTCAGAAGTTTTGTTATGCTAATTCGCTTGCTAGCTAACCTTCAAAGTAAAAAGTACCTTGGACCTGTTCTCAAATTAATGTTTATAACGGGGAGAAAGAAAAACAAAATCTACACTTTGTTCCTTGCATGAAAAGTTTGAATTTTAACGCCAAAAGGAGCTTAGGCTTTTCCCCCTCCCCTCTTTGCCAGTGAATCACGCAGCCTGAAACAAAGAACTGTTTAATGACTGCCTCTAAAGTTCAGACAAAAGCAAGGTTTATTGCCTTTCAATAAACTCATCTGTTGCCATAGTGACAGCCCTAGGTATGCTCGGAATTTCAGCCAATGTTATAAGGAGGAATCATCGCAGAAGCACCCCCTGGTGGTCATGCAATTTTTTTTTCTAGCTGAGTCACAACAGCCACAATTAATTCAGCACACAACAGAGCAAATCTGTTAGTTAAAGTGCAAGCTACTTAAAGTTATCCCAAGCTACCAACACCCCCCAGAGGGCACAGAGTGATCTTACCAGAAGCATTCACTCACTCACCCAAGCTGAGCACTAAGCTGTTCCAGCTTGAGAGAACGTAGGCAGAAGAAATCAAAGCCAAGTCTCTTCACTCATTATCACAGCTGATGACCCGGAGTTCCAGCCTGCAACTGACCAGGTGGGAGTTTGTACCTCTACATTGTCTCAGTGGCTCACTAGCAGTAACGTGGTAATAGGAAGAATTTGGCTAACCTTTCTCCAGATGCCCCCTAGTGGTTAAAGGAAGCTCTACACGCAAGCCTTTAACCGCACCCAGAGAAGCCCCTCTAGTGGACAAAGGGTGAACCTCGAAGCCAGAGCACCCTGGTAGCTGACCCACAGCAAGTGACCCCTAGTGGTGAAGGGGTGAACTGCACTGAAGTACCCACAAACACAGGAGAACGCACCCAGTGGCATCTCCACCCACAGACAGCACCTCAGAAGCTGATCTACAAGTAGCGACCCCTAGTGGTCAAAGAGAGAAGTTCTCCAAATTCTCTTCAAAATAGCTGAGAAGGACACTGAACCTATCCTAGCCATAGCTGAGGATCCTACTGGTCTAGCAGAAGGGGTTCAACCTATCAGCCTAGTTGAGATACATCAACCAGCCCACAGACGCCATGCATTCACATCTGATGGAGAAATGGCACATCATCCACAGACGCCATGAACGAAGCTGGGAGAGATTATAAAAACTCTACCATGAACAGAAGGAGGAACTCTCCCCAGAACGGGCACACGCAGTGGAAGGAGATAAGGAAGATGCCTACGTGCAATGGATGGACTCTGAACGGCAACTCAAGGACATTCAAGAACAATTAAGAGACTCAAGAATCGATAGCAAGATGCACAACCTCAAGGTACTAAACAAGGAACGCAAGAAGTTTCTAGAGAGCTCACAGGGTTCCCCACAGCCCAAGCCTCGCCAGAAAAGCAGACTGGTTGACAGAGCCGAGTCCAAAGTCTCCCGCTATTCACATACACCATCCCAACGGCCGCATGCGGCTCCATCCCACGTGTCTGGAACAGCCTCATCTTTCCGCCACATATCCAAGACACATTCCAGCATGTCCCAAGAACCGCATATCACAGGCACCTCCCACCTTTCGAAGGCATCTTCCCGTCATAGCCGAACCTCCCGAATCTCACAAATCGAACAAATGATCATAGATGCTAAAGCTGCTGAAGCTGTCTTTCGCATGGCACAAGAGGAGAAGCAGAGAAGGAAGGAGTTGGCAGCCATAGAACTTGAGGAAGCTGAAATAGAGGCCAAGCTACAAGCCGAAGCAGCCCAAATGCAAGCCGAAGCAGCCCAAATGGAAGCCAAACGAAAGGCTATAGCAGCCAAAATGAAGGCCAAAAGAAAGGACGCCCAAGAAGAACTTGAACTTACTCAATGCCAAAGAATTATGGCAGACAAAATGGCTAGAGTGGAAGGCCTTCAGAGAATACTTCAGCACACCACTTTCTTGCCAGACAGGCAACAACTGGAAAATGAAGAGCGTCGTAGCTGCGTACAGACCTACGTGGACAACCAAAGTGAATTCCAGAACGCACAGGTGAGAGCATCTCAGCCAGCCACAAGCCCCCCAAGACCGAGTAGACAAACAGAGGAATCTCAATGACCTGATTCGCTGGTCAACCACAGAGTTGATGACATGACACCTAGGTCACGAGATCCTCCTGCCGTTGCTGCCACATTGAACCTGATGGCAACGACTGCACAGCGGGGAGTGCCACAAGATCTTGCCATCATTATTACCCCAGCAACGGCAACAACTGCACAGCGGGGAGTGCCACAAGATCTTTCCACCGTTATTACCCCATTGAACCCCATAAAACCACACCTACAATACTGCATGCTTGTGACAACCAAACCTGTTTTGGTAGCAACAGTGTTCCAACCGCGCCTAGAACAACACTGCACACTTGTGACAACCAAACCTGTTTTGGTAGCAACAGTGTTCCAACCGCGCCTAGAACAACACTGCATGCTTGTGACAACCAAACCTGTTTTGGTAGCAACAGTGCTCCAACCGCACCTAGAGCATCGCACGTTTGTAACAACCAAACCTGTTTTGGAAGCAACCGTGTTCCAGACAAGCAAGACTTACTACAATTTAGCTTTGTCCATAAAGGACAAACAAGACAAACAACGCCCCCAAGACTGGGAGTCATGGA